GATCTAAGAAACAGTATATTTCATACAATGTCTAATATTATATATATATATGTCAGAGATAATTCCTTGGTCTAAGAAATTAAAAAAGTCGTATATTTCCTATTAACTGGATTCTTGATGTCAAAAAAGTCTACCCGAAAAAAAAACTTTAAATGATGACGAAAACCTCAATAACTCAAAAATGACTTATCCGATAAGTCTGATTCTGATTTAATACTTTTAACTAAAGAGAAAACTTACTAATTAAAAAGAGCTCTTCACCAAATGAGTTCATTAACTGTCGAAACGATTAGATCAATATACATTTAAAATAAAAGACAGATAATTCTGAAATAAAATACTAGACAAGGTTATAAGTATTTTAGGAATAAAAAAAATAAATGCTCATCTCAAGAATAACGGTTTTAAGAAATTGTAATATGCACACAAAAACGTTATAAAGATAAATGAAATAATCGCATACTACGTCTCTAACAGCAGAGATTTAAGAGTGACTAGATATATGTTCCTCCAAGCGCCTTTTTCGGTTGGTGAATTAGAGATTCAAAATGTTAAAAGTGGGTTTCGAAATACTCCCTTTCATAATGTATACGTCAAAATATGCTAACATCCCGAACATTTTTAATAAATCAAAGATTTTTGTTTAGTAACTTGTGATATTTTGAAACCATTTTAATAACAACAAAAAAAAAAAAGATCTTCATAAATGTATTAAACATTACTTTTAGTTTGGAAAACATCTGTGAATCTTTACTGTTACTCCGAAATTCTTCAATTCATTATTAAAATATATTGCGATAATGAAGTAAAAATAATACAACAATATCTTATGGTGTTTTTATAATTCTGTTTATAACAATGAATCATAAATCAAACACAATGTTTTTGTTGTTGTATCCGTTCATTTATGAAGCAAGTGCCATGAAATTAATTACAAAAACATATAGATAATGGTATCGTTAGAAGAGCGAAGAGTATTTAGAAGAAGGAATGGATTGGAGAAGCATTTTAGATTCTGCGTGAAAATTGTCAACATACGACGGTAGCCGGTCATAGTCCGCAAAGCCGTATTCTGAATGTATTGATGTTATTCCATTGCGTGTTACAGAGTTGTAGGGTCAATACTGAAGTTGCATAGACCTCAATAGAAATTGTTTAAGAGCCTTTAACACGTTATTGGTAGATTTCAGCCAACTGCACATCGCTGTGACATGCGAAGAAAAAGTCAACAGACTAATGAGTGCAACGCCCATGATTTAAGATTTTATGTTGAAAGGATAAAGAGAACGGCAGGGGACTTTGTTGGTATTAAGTCAAGATTTCTATTACGAAATAATAAGGCCACATTGGAAAGGTATACATTTATTGTATTTCACAATGTAGAGGGGTCCTGGTCCGTAGCTAGAATTGTGCAATCGTTGGTATATGATACGACTCTGAATTCTTCAGAATGGCCTGGGAGTTTGCACAGTCAGAGATTGGAAAAGGTCGGAAGGAAAACATTGTCCACCACAATTACTGACAATACTGGCAGTACCTAGTACTACTCATAAGCTATAAAAAAGAAGATAGTGAAGTTAGTAGTTAAGATGTGCTTAAGAAAATTTAAGTACGGCATAAATATAAACGAAGACACCAAAAAAAAAAGATTAATTTGGTTAATTTAAAAAATTTAATCGAAGACGAAATCCATAGAAGTTTAAACTACAAACTATTGACTGACAATTAACAATGATAATACATTATTATTCTCCACTCCATTATATATTATTGATCTCAGCAATCACTGTGGATGATTATTTTCTTTTTATATTTTTCGTCCTTGATTGAATTTTTCAAATTACAACAATAACAATAATTGTAATTATTATATTTTAATATATATCATTATCAATAACTAATATATTCTAATAAATGTATTTCAATATGTAGAACTTATTAAAATAGTTTTGCGTAGAATAATGGATAATTAAATTCCAGACAACAGGATAGACAGACATAAAATTTACAGGAGCTCCACTCCTTAAAGAGAAAAAAACTAGAATATACAAAATTATTATAAAAAAAAATTTAATATTCAAATCTACAGAGCAGTCCTTAAAAAAATTAAATTTAATATTATGCAAAAAATTTCAAAACACAAAATCGATTTAGCATTTAAAATGGGAAAAGTATTTTTTCTTTGGTGACATGCATAGATTTGATAAAATAAAGTCTTAAAATATAGAATGTAAGTATATTCAATATACGATAGGTTTTTTATTTATAATAGGATTCGTTCGTAAAAGTAGATTTACTATAATCATTCTTAATACACGTGAAAACGCATGCTAGAAACCAAAAACCAATACCATTGGCAAAAGTTAATTGCTTTCCCGAAATTATAATAAATCTGCATTTTAACACCAATCAGCTGTTTTTGAAAAACATACGAACACAGAAACATATTTTTATGTAACAAAAATAGTTATCATGAAAAAAAAGCGAGGCAAAATAGTGAATTTATTGCTTAATCAAGAAGTATCAAGAGGAATGAAGATTAGTTTCCGAAACCTACTTTTGGAGAAAAAGGTTTGAAAAGCATAAACACAGCAAGAACTTAATATAGATAAGCATTTAATAACCATTAACTCGTACTGTGTGAACAAGCTTTAAAACACAAGATAAATTATTAGATTATACCTTGTTTCCACTGCTTACTCAGTAAGTTACTTAAGCAGAGAGCTTCTGTTTGTTTAGAAAAACTTCTCATTTCTTCAATTTCGTAAGCTCCTCAATAATATATTATACAAAAAGTTAAAAATATAATTGATATATTAAATTATTTGCATACATATTATACAAATCTATTATATATTCAATTAATATAAATTAAGATTTTATGAAATACTGACTTTCTCAATGCGTTTGTTTACAGCTCAGCTGTCGTTTGTTTACATTTTACAAATAAAACATATGACAAATATTTCAAATTTCAGTAATTTTATGTTTGGTAAAGACATATCACTAAATTATTGCGAAATATTTATTTAAAATTGGTGTTTTCTATTAATAATGTTATAACTCAAATAATAGTAAAATTTGGTAAAAATGCATATCGTGCAAGAAGTTCTTCTATGCCAATGAACTATTAGGATCTCCTATCTTTGAAATATAGGAATAGATAAAATTCAATACCAGCCTATAAGCAGATCTTCATAAGCTAATCACCTACAGCACGAAAAAAAGGCAACTTTATTTACCAAAGAAATATATATGGTATAGTGAACTTATAGTAAGTTATGTTTTCCACAGAAATTGTTACATTGCATTTAACAATAGTTGTAATTTTTTCTTTTAGAGTAGCAAAAAAAAAAAAAATACTCGCAACTTATGAAAGAAAACATGTAAAGCAACAACAATGCTCTTAAAAGAGTTAGGTTTTACTCGTATAAAATTTAAGACTAAAGTTTTAATGCGGCCAAATTCAAAAATCAGTCTATTGTGAATGTTCACTGAATACCAGAATCAATGGTATTTTTTTCCTGCTCTGAAAAAAAATACGGCTAATGATATTAAAAAGTCCAATTTTCAATGATTAAATTGCAATGGATAGTGTACCAGTTCACAGTGTCCACTTAACTTGATGTCTACATTTTCTAGACTTTGCCGAGATTTTTTGTTCGAACGCACACTTTTTATTTTCGAATTTTGTCTGCAAGCAAAAATTTGTGTGCGTTAGTAAGAAAGTGAATATGACCAAACATTTTCGAAGTGTGACGCAGGGTAAATAAAACAACATCGTTGTTGTTGCAAATTGTTTTTAAAACATTACAAAATTGAGCATTTTCCAATGCGTATAAGAACAAGTAATTAAAAAAAATTGATTTACGATATTGTACTGTATTACATTAAAAGTTGGTAAGTTTTTTAGCGAAACGGCATGATCGTCTTATTTCAACCGCACATTTAGCCTCCCGAAAATTGTATGCACGGTAGCTCCCGACAAGTTAAAGGACGATCAATAATTGTTCTCATTAAACAATACTTGTAACTGATTTTTTGGCTAAAAATTAGATTTTTACTGTGCATCAACCCATGCTTCTCTAATACGACAACTTGCGAATTTAATCTTTTCGAAAACATGAATTTGCTGAAGTATGAAAAGTATTGTATGAACACAGAAACCATCCGAAAGGCTTGTGCCGAAATCCTGAAGATTTGTCATTTCAGACGTATTAATTTCTGTTATGAAATTCTGTTAGTACCTCAGTGAAGGATCTACCTTACTGGTACCGAAAATTGCCATTAGATGGTCACACTGCAAAGATCTATTTATAGAAACTACTATTTACTTTGAAATGCTTTTTGCATATCAGGTTTTATATTCAATATTTACATTATTTTAAATAACATAATCTTTATTAGTAAAGATCTAAGTATTTCACCTTAACTTTACCCGTAACACAAGTTCACAATAAACAATACTAGCAAATCTTTATAAATATTTTTGAATAAATTTATTTAATAAGTCGCATCCTTACTTATCAAACAACACTTTTCCTACGATCTTTTAAAGAAAACTTCAAAAATTATAAACCAAATAGTAAAAAAAATAAAATATATATATTCACTTTTGCTGCACTACTGCAAGATCGTTTTGACATAAAATCCTGCTATTGTGAATGCTATCATATGACGCTTAATTTAATGGAGCGATAATTATAGCTTTACATAGAACCACACTTTGGATCTCCCATCTACAGATCAGATCAGTAACATTTTTGAATAAAAAATAGAATTGCACATTTAATTGTGTTAATTTTTGTACTCATTCTTACAACGAGACCACTAAATTTGTATATCGAATGGATTTGTTGTAAATTTTTATCACAATAATCGATGTCAAAAGAGTATAAGTATGTATTTATAGTATTAATATCACTGTCATTTTATACAACGACAAATGTAGAATTTACCCAAGGAAAATGTAAAATAATTATGTATGTCGATTTTCTTACATTTTTCATGTATGGTGCCTCTAGCATGGCTTCCACATCGAAATCTTCGGCCATTTTCACTGCTCCTGTGTTTCCGTTTGCTTAATTCTCTGATGAAAATTTCTAACGACAGCAAAAACGTTTTTAACAATTTTTTGACTTTTTAAAATTTAAGTTCACTTACAAAGTTTATTTTTAATATATACAATTTTTCTTTATTTTATTTATTATATATTCTGCGGTTTTGAAACAGACGATCCCGATTGCTTAAAAAATTTTCAGTTGAACAAATGAAACGATGTATTACGAATGAACACGACCATGTGTGTATAATCAGTTTTCAGTTTCGAACATCGAAAAATACTATTGATTTCTATGTTTGCTGTGTTCGTAAAATTTACAAAATTGTATTTATCATTAAAATGTTCATAAACTTAGTCATAAGTAATATTTTTCTTCATGCACATAATCATAAGTAATCAATTAAATAACATATTTTAATATAAAAAGTATGTATACATTTATATATATAGAAAATATAAAATATATTTTTATAGAAATAGAATTTAAAGATCATTAAAATCTCAAGTATTAGAACAAAAAAGCGATAACTTTTGTTACTAATTATTCGATAATTTTTCAATTTCCTCAGAAATATAACACAAACTATAGAATTTTAGGACATTAAAAACTTAAGTTCTAAAGTTAAAAAACGATAACTTTTCTTATTAAATTTTCGACAGTTTTTATGTATCCTCCGAAATATTTCGAATTTGTTATTAGTTTCCTTACAAAACAAACTAGTTCAATCTAACAATTCGAAAAATGTTACAAATTCGATATATTTTATAATAATATTCTCTTTGCCACATTTCTCTGTTGAAAATGTTATGACTTTCGTTAGAAAAACTATGGCAAAAATGATATATGGCAGCTGTGTTCTTGGGTTGGTGTCTAGGCTATGTAGATCATGCAAAAATGTCATGTTCGAAAGATATTTTATTTTCGAATTTTATTTGCGAATATTAACTTGTGGGAGTTTGGCATTATCGAACAAAAATACGATCAAACAAATTGAATAATGTTTGAAATTTTATTCTACATAAAATGCTTTGATTAATAATGTCTTTAAATATGTAAATAGTGTGTGTTAAATATAGCCATAGTGCATTAAACTTGTTATACTTAATGCTATTATTTATATATATTAATGAATATTAGAGAAAATGATCAAATATTTACTAATCAAATACTAATGTACAAATATTCTATATTGTTTTCATATGTGTCTCGAAAGTATAGCGAAGAGCAGTCAATATGTATACTGATTTTTGCATTTTAATTAAAAATCTGAAAGATGGCACTATATTAAGTATAGTGTATTCACCGTGATTTCAAGTGTCATATAAATTTCAAATACAATTTGATATTTCAATTGCAAAAATAAACAAATTATTAGGATTTGATTGCAATACGATTTTTATTGTATTTATCACAACTAACATAATAATAAATGCTATTTAGTTTAATAAATGATATATATTATAATAAAAGCTTTACTTTGAAAGTATTAAAAATGTAGAAACCATAAATGGATTATGCACTGCATATAAAAGAAAGTACTATTGTATTAATTACAGTTTTCCAAGAAATACAAATTAAATAGTACATGCAGTGTAAAAAACTAAATCATCTTATACTGGATTCACACAAGAGATTTATGTGAGAGAGCCTTTTCACACAGCACGAGTAGTTAAAATTTTGATTATAGTTTTGATCGTTAGACTCGTGTGCTTTGATACAAAATCAAATTAAAATTACAAAACTCCAAAAACCAAAAATACAATTAAATTGCAATTTATACAAAATCAAGTTGAAATTAAATTCATGATGAATTATAGTACAATTGTATAGCGATAATTTGAATAATTTTTATAACTTAAAGCAAAAGACTACCATATACATTACAGTAATCAAAGATAGGGTAACCTTGACTACAACATTCGTTACTGACGTTTAACGAGCACAATTGCAAAAATCAAATGAGATAAACTATGATTTGCTATGTGAATACGTTTTTATTAAAAATCGTTTGTATGACACTGTTTTTGTATGTAAAATTAAATTATAATTGTTTATAATTGAAAACATGTCATAATATTATAATACATATAAATAAACAAAAAAAATTCATTATTATTATTTAATTTTTTTTTTTTAAATGATTAAATTATACAGATTCCATCACTATTTTATTAAACTTTTTATAATTAGCATTTATCATTGGAAACATATTATTATAACAAAACTATAATACAAATATATGTATATTAAAACATCATTTTAATTAAAATAGTTTTATTTTTTGTAAACAGATATACAAAATATAGATTTATAATTAATTTTGCTTAACAACTTGTATTGAAAATTAATAAAAACTGTAGCATTAATTTCGCCACTTAACAAATACATATTTAATTATAGTAAATATATTTCTGATCAAACATTTTTTATTATAATTTTTTTGATATAATAATTTATTAGCAGGCTAATTGATCATTTAAATAAAAATAAAAAAAATTATAATTTATTATTTATATTTAAAAACAAATTATATTTGAATGAAATATTTGTCCGATATTTTTTTGTTAAATGAATTATTAAACTTCATATAATTTTGATAACTTTGAATTAATTTTAGTAACACAAAAAATAAGTCATTTACTGCACGTACTATCATAATTTATAACAGAGTATAGATGAGATAAAGTCGAGAAGAATACGCAAAAAATTGTAAGTTTTTCTTAAGTTTATACTGATTCTACAAAGACTAAGCAGTAGTTCAATGTCTAATCCTGATATAACCAGTATTGGTACCCATTGTAATTCACCGCTACGTAAAATTGATAGTTATATTTCTACCACTCTGTCATTGGATACAATTATTTGGTCCATTACTGCATTACAAAAAACTAGTCGGTTAGGAAGTTTCTATGTTCAATAATATGGCAAATCGTCTTTATCTATTACTGTGATTATAGTAACAGTTAAATCAGCGTAAAGCCAGTGTAAAGTAGACTAGTTAAGAAGTTTTGGCAACAACTGGCATGCATACGAGTCCAATGGATCAAATGGTATATAGGTTATATACAGGGGAATAATACAAAGTTACATGTGTAAGTCATTTGTGCACAAAAACATATATACGTGTAAATTATATAAACAGAAACAATTTTTTATTTTTATTATATTGTATTTTAATGAAATATCAATAAAAATTCTTTAAATAAAACTTAAGATTTTGATGATAATTTTAAATTATCATCAATTACTGATTTTACTTGTTATTAATACGAATACATCTAAATTATATATCTTTAGTTTAATTCAATTAAATATATATATATATATATATATATATTGTTTTAATGACCAAAAAACAAATTTTTTTTTTAATAATTTTTTCTTAAATTCATCTTTAAAACTGGCATACAACACTGTGGTCAGGTGTATAAAAACACTTTTAACAAATCCGGAAGAGAATAAATATATCTTTCCTATATATATTATTTTTATATCTATTGTCATAGTATTGTATTAATATTTTTTATACACATATATATTACTCATGTTTCGATGTTAATGTATTTTATAATTGTTTCTTTGTGATATGTACTAAAATATTTTTACATTGTATTAAAATTTCATAGTACCCTAATGATGACTATAGATTATAGTCGAAATGTCGGTAAAAATAAAATCTTTTAAAAACAAATAAATATTTTTTAAAAAGTTTATTATTTAACTATTGACCAATTAGCCCGTAAAAAAACAAAATTATTATTAAAAATATGTTAAATATAACATATTACATTTATCTAAAATATATTAAATTTTTTTCAATTAACCTTAAACAATATGTTTACAAACTATACAAACTTGTATAAATATATATACAATTATCTTAAGATATTCATGAAACATATAGAAAATAGACAAAAATTAGTGATGGTAAATATTCGATCATCAGTGTTGCAAACTACCCATTCTGTTAACATCACTAGGAAGTTATTTTTGCATTATAGACAAGAGAAAGACACTGGCCAGGTGTAGTTGTTTATTTATAGTTAATTAAGTGAAATTGGTATTAATTAATAAGCACTGTGTAATTGTAACAAGAATCATTAATATTATCTTAAAAAATAAATAAATAATATTATTATATTAAAAATTGTGTGTTATCTGCAATGTATGTTGCGCACTTGTCGCCCAGTTGAGTCATCATTATTAACATAGGCCAAGTCTGCAGCAGCACCTTCACAGGTAATTGTTTTCAATCTAGTGTCACACGTTGGCTACCAACTCAACCCTAACAATTTTACAACTGTTCATTTTTAGTTAGTATTGTTGGGCGCAGTGTTTTGGGTGCGCCAAAGTTTTGATGGCGTAATTTTTAACTGCATTCGCACCAGCCAATGGTCAAAAATTGAAATTCCAATATACTATTTCGAAAAAGTAAACTAATGATGATAAATATGAAAGTAATACAATAATTTTTTAATTTATTTTTATTTCATTTTTCAGTATTATCGCTGGTATTCAATAGAATGGAAGACTATAAATTCCTATTTAAAATAGTTTTAGTGGGTAATGCTGGTGTTGGAAAGACGTGTCTTGTACGTAGATTTACACAAGGACTATTTCCACCTGGCCAAGGTGCCACAATAGGTGTTGACTTCATGATTAAAACTGTCGAAGTTGAAGGAGAAAAAATTAAGGTGAAATAGTATATTAAAAAAATAATAGAATATGTATTGAAAATGTGATTGTACTCTTACAATTATAGTTACAAATTTGGGATACTGCAGGACAGGAACGTTTCCGTTCCATTACACAAAGTTACTATAGATCAGCACATGCATTAATACTCGTTTATGATATTAGTTGTCAGCCAACATTTGATTGCTTGCCGGATTGGTTGCGCGAAATACAGGAATATGCTAACTCAAAGGTTTTAAAAATTTTAGTAGGCAATAAAACAGATCGCGATGACCGCGAAATACCAACTCAAGTTGGTGAAGAATTTGCCAAACAACATGATATGTACTTTTTAGAAACATCAGCCAAAGAAGCTGAAAATGTGGAACGTTTGTTCTATGAAATTGCAGCAGAACTTATTGACCAGGCGAGAAGCAAAGATAACACCACTGCAAACAAGAGCGCTACTGACGCTATCGGACTTGGTAATTTGGGTGCAAAGGCTACGCAAACCAATTGTTGTAGCAGTTTAAGCAATTCTCCTAGTCAATCCAATAATAGCACTTAAATGTTGTTGTGTGTCGTCGGTATATTATTGTGTGTTTTAATTTTTAATAGTATTTTTATGCAATCAATCAAAGCTACGAGGGATGCTAAACGTGTGTTATTTTGACTTTTTACGTTTTTTAGTTAAGTATTTTAGTTATTTAATATATGTACTTTTTAAATATTATAATTTATATTATTTTCAGTTTGCAATAGTTTTATATTGAAATGTTCTTTAACATTCTTGTATTAATCAACTATTTGAAATTATTCGTATTTTAAAAAGTATTTTACGAATTTGTTATGTTTTAATTATTTTTTATACACGTTGAACTATAAGAAATTAATGAAAATAGAGAAACTATGAACATTAACTAAAAAAAACATTCCAAAATATTTTAAGAATAAATCGTATTAGTAAAATTAGAGCACTGTATTCATTTTAGATGCGTTTTCTCTGCAAATGCAATGTTAGCATTTTCTCTGCAAGATTTTAGCATAAAACGAATTGAGCTCAAATATATTATTTGCTGGAATGTAGTATGTAATGTATAAAATAGACATTTTCCTATATTTTGAATACTAAATAGAGTATAGTACCCACATAGTAACACAGGTGGCCTTTACAGTTAAACTACAGGATTTTGAGAAAATATTAGTGCGTTGCGGGAGTGAACGGTTTTGTGGCGAAGTTATAGTTGGAAGTTAACAAAAATTGCCAATGAAATTTGAATTCTAGCCATGATGTGAATTTAATCCAGAGTAAGGTCTAACATGGCACCATCCGTTGCAGAAGTTGCAACATGAAGAGATGGTGTTCCTAGAGATTGCTCTATTGCAAACTATGCATAGTCAAGTGGTAGAAGAGGTGAGAAATGCCTTGCAGAAGGGTTGGTTGCATTAATTGGACTACTGGTGGTTAACAAAGAAGGAGATTATCTATATAGAAAAGTAGTTGGACAACTAGTTCCTCTAAAGAGGAACTCCGCTTTACTTGTCATTCTTGCAAATGTTGCTACTACACATGGGATTTGGCATAAATTTCGCATTTTAACGTGTCGAGTGTTCAATCAGGCATCATGTGTAATACCCGCTTAAAGAATGGATATATGGAAGACTACAACCGCATGCAGTTCAAACCCCTGTAATGCAGGGCGAAAAGACGAGCAAATAGAATTAAAGTCTACGCTTGGGATAATAGCGGTTGTAGAGTGGAATGCTTGACGAGTGACAAAATCCATTTCAATATCCCCTTTGAGAGGATTCCGACTGCGTGTGAAATATTTCCTGGAAAATAAAAGCAGGTACTTGTTTATTCGAGTAAGCTTGGAAAACTTGAGAACTAAAGAGTTACAGTAGTGTTTGTAACATGGTCTGCTTCAGTAGTTTACATAATCGCCATGTACTCTTCTTTCGAAGGCGCGGATTAATTACATCGGGTGTAAACTAATTCCGGAACAGATGCGAAAGACGTATGAAATTGGTGGATGAGTAGTTTATGGCAAAGTAAAAATCCATGAAATGGATATCTAAATTGTTTGAAATAATTTTTAATTAATAAAAATAAAATTATTTGAATCATTTAAGTAAGAAAGAACTAAATAAATATACGTTTATCACGAAACAGCAACAAGTGCGAATCATCGCCTTTAGTAATTATAGTAAAAGCCTTCTAATGTTCTTAAGTTTCAGCCTAAAAATTAGTCCTTCTTTTATGTCTATCCTAGCCTAAGAATAATTCTGAACTGTGTTTACTTACGTTCTTCAGTGGTAACACTACTTAGTCAGGGTATAACGAATCTCTACCCGAATCGAGCTTTTTCCTTTTTAGTAAATTCAGGGCTTATTAAACAAAAAATCTCAACGCTGTTACCTCGGATATGGAATAGGTATTCTACTCTGCTAAAGTATCTACCGTCATTCCAAGCGATATTAATATCATACTTTTCAAACCTGCCTTTACTTCGGCTTCATGGTTAGGTCCTCCTTCAGGTAAATTGTACAAGCAATTTACAGGTTGCTCGAGAGAAAATATTCTTAGCGGAAACTCGGTATGTAAAGTAGAAGCTCACTAGACGTAAGTCAGTTTCAATGCTCAAAGTCAAAAAGGCTAAAATTCATAGGGACTCCATTTAAAATTAACCTCAAAAATGAAGGTAGTTAGACCAAAATCTTATAGATATCAATCTTGATAATCTCAACGGATATCCAGTCTATGTGTAACTAATCTCTTGTCAGATTAGATGAGGTTTGCTCAGACACAGCATCAATAGTAAACGATTATATAATCCTCATATTGCATCTTCTCATCACTAAATTAATTCAATTTCTAAAATATTTTTTCAATGATATTAAGTTAATCTCAAAAGATGACTATAAAAGACATTCGCAATTTCGAAATTGTAAAATGAAGAAATAATGGTTCTAATTAAAAAAAATAAAAATATGAAGTAGTTGGAAAAAACAACAATAATTGAATTTTTTATTGAAATGAATTTTTATACAATACATATAATATAATTAAGGTGACCAGACGTCCAGGCGGGACAGTTCCGATTTTTCATAATTTGTCCCGCGCCTCGCGACATTTTTCAAAAGTCCCGACTTTTAGAATTAAGTTAAATTTTATATTTATGAAAATCATTGTTTTGCATTGTAAGAATCTTACGGGATGCGACGACTAACATATTGCTTTTGCTTCCCAGCTACATTGTATTTGGGATTTGGATTTCCACACAATAATGTATTATAAATTGTGGAATATGCACTATCTTAGCCTGGAACTACCACTTCGACTGAACGCGTTTTTTCTACAGTAAATTAAGTGTGGACATCTAAGTCAATAATCTTTGAAAAAAACAGACCAGGCTGTCCTAAAAGATTTGCAATATTTTTACTTTACGTCTGAAAATTGGAACCGGTGCTTATGGAACTTATTATAATATTATTGTATTTACCTACTAGCATATTCACGTCATCCCAAGTTTTTTTTATTCTCGATTTTGGGTTTATTTTGGATGTAAACTTTTCCAAGCTTTCAGATTTCGCGGCGTTGACTTGACATTTAAATAATGCATTGGCCTTTTTATAAAAAACTAAATTTGAGTTTGATTTCAACAACTTTCTCTTTTAAGTTGTTGCAAATTGGAATTCCACCACACGGTATTGTAATCTACTTTAATAAATGATGATGTTTGTGGGATCCCAATATTTGCTGCAGATCTAATAATTTTAGTCAAATTGGCTGCTTCTTTATTAGTTTCATTTGCAATATTAAATCTGTTATTGTTTTGTTTACAAAGTTGTTAGAATTTGTCCCAATCTGCAAAATCGGTTTTGAAGTTTAGCCGTTTTTTTAACCTTATGAATTTATCAAATCGGAGATAGAGAACAGCTGCAGTGATACAACTGCAACAACAACAAATATAAATATGAAGGCTGAAAAAATGTAGTCAATTGACGAAATGACGACAACGAAATAGACGTTTGAACTTCATGCTATGGATTTCAAAGTGTCGGACATCGGGGTGCTTTTCGTGGGTTGAACTCGCATACTAACTGGGCTTTAGATTGCTTTACACCACGTTAAAAAAAATTAAGTTGCAGTGTCTTATTGATTTTCGAAGGAACAACTGAAAAGGAACTGTTGCCGACTGAGTGCTTTATATAGTTGTTTTGTTTCCCTATGCTGGGATGAGCCTGCCCTTTAATAAATTTAATGATTTTGTAGCATTCGGCAACACCTTGTGAACTTAGCTCTCTAACTATTTCGTTGTGTTGAAATATTTATAAAGAGAACATTTTATTAAGCAAATAGCTAATGAGTTCTTTATTGGATAAAAATATTTGAGCAGTAGACATATTGTTGATTAGCAATAACAGGTTACTATCTTTTAGTTCAATAATCGTTATAATTTCTTCACCTTTTATATGTAGAGCTCTCTGCACCACAAAACAAGATAATTCAGACGAAGGTCTTGGATGGGGTCTGGCCAGGCATAACATCTGTAGTAAAGCATTATATAATTCTCATGTTGCATCGTCTCATCACTACTTAATCCAATTTCTACAATGTTCTTTTAATGAAAGACAATCGCGACAAAAACATAGGTATAGGAACCCATATAAATTGAAACGAAACTTTTTACGCCAAAGTTCAGGTCGCCGGATCCAAGGTTCAGCCCTACAAAAAATTTTTTTGTACGGGCCAGTGAAAGACAAAGCCATGAATCATGGAACTATGCCTATAAACCCAAAACAAAACAGCAATCCACTGTTTGGATCTTCCAAAGTAAGGAAAACCGACAAAAGTTGTCCGCGGATGGAGTAAATGTTCGGATGTTTTCGAAGAATTGAGAAAAACTAACCGTAGAAGGAAGATGATTTTCTATCACATTAATTCAAACAAAAAAGTTTTTTGAGTTCAAAACAGCGAACTGATGAGTTCTCCGCCTTATAGTCCCGACTTGGCATCTATTGTCTTCATTTTATTCTCAAACATTAAGAAAAAAAACGCGTGACATTCAAAACTTTAGTTTTAGAGATATCAATTTCAGAGTGGCAAAACTGTTTCGAAGATTGGTTCAATCAAATGAAAAAATGTATTGATCATCACAGAGAATACTTCGAAGAAGAATAAAACCATTTTTACTGATTAACCACTGTGTTTTCATTGTTAGGCGCACAACTTAAAAGTCAGCCCTCGTATTACAAGGCAATATATATATAAAATATGTATTGTATGAAGTATGAAGGCTGTTAGAATTATAACTACATACTTAAATTAGAATTTAGGAAACTTTTCGGTCCCTGAAAATGAATAAAACTTATTAATAAATACGTTATTAATATAAATAGAACGATAGAGAGAGAGAGAGAGAGAGAGAGAGAGAGCATAAATTAAGAAGAAAGCTGAGCTAGAAGAAATAGAAGGAGGAGGGAGAAGAGAAAAAAATAACACAAGAAGTAGACGGAGAGAGGAAGTAGAGATAGTGATAGATAGAGGCGAAAAGAAAGAGGGGAGATACACAGGGAGAAAGAAGAAACGAGAGTGAGAGAGGAGGAGGTAAACGGAAAAGAAGAATAGAATTTGAGGAAAAAATGAGAGAAAAGAAGAAACAAGGAAAGATGCAAAAAAAAGGGGGAAAGGAAGAAAAAAAGAAATGGAGAGAGAGAGAGAGTGAGAGAAAGATAAGAAATTATTTTTTTTAATTACATATAAGTTACTTATTTTATAAAACAATACAAAATATTGCGAAATGCTTTATTTATATAGAAATATAATTTTACATGCATTTAATACATAAACTTTTTTGTATTTCTTAACGAATATATATATATATATGTTCTTCTAGTGGCGTGTATACTCCACTTTAATTTCGAATAAATGTGATTAAATATTTTTATGCTTTTGCTTTTGAGTTTGTAGGTATATTTTTTGGTTTTAAAATGCCCTTGGATCGTAAATAACGTACGATGAATGGAACTGATCCTAATGTGATGCTAATACGGATCGGTGCAAAAACTTTATGTATAGCATAAGACACCACAAATGTACTGGCGCCAGCTGCAATATTGTTATTCAGTGTTGATGATTTGAATCCAAGGTACTCCAAAAACGACACCATATCTACTCCGCTGAAAAAATTAAAAAAAAGAAAAACAGATAAGATAATAAATATATTCAAATGAAATTATTAATAACATAATTAATAAAATATTTAAATTAAAATTAGTTATAATATGCATATGATACATAGTAAAAGCACAACATTTGAATTAAATTTTATACAAGAAGTACATGCAAAGATTAATTTATAATGTAAGTTTATTTTAAATTGAAACAAAATAATTTGTATTGAAATGATATAAGAAACATAATGAACTATTATTCAAATAATTTTTTCTTGTGTGGCAAAAAAATTAGTATTTCAAATGTAGCTTTATAATTAGAGCTCTCCTATCACAAATATCTCCTATCACGTTTATTGAAGTAGGAAATCAGTCCATAACATTGGTATATTATATTTTTCGATGCTATATATTAATGTAAATACGCTCTACAAATATTTCTATAATTAACAATATCAAAAAATCAGCAAAATTATTAAGAACTTTGTACCGCATACAAGCTAGCTAGAACATGGTAGACATACTATATGGTGCTTTAGATCTATTTTCCGAAAAGTCAAGTTTAAACCCATGTCAAGTTACACTGTTGGGAAATAAATGTTTAAATATCAAAAGCAATTAAATGTTGCTGCAGTTTTTGCTTTTCTTTCTTCAGGTTATACAGCATCACATGGAATAAAAGTCCCCGTGGAATGCACACATTATAATAGACCCCACTAATAATGAAAATAGTAAAAGTACTGTACTGCTATTAACTGTACTACTACTAAGTTTGAGCAGCTCGAAGATACTTGAATTCAAATAGTTGCTCAAGTACGTTTAACAGTAAATGCTAGAACATCAAATGTTGGTCGAACATTTCTGAGTGGCTCGGACACAATTAATCTTGAACAACACAATATTCAAAGCTCCTACAATTCGAATAATATTTAAAGTACTATTTTAAAATTATAATTATATTTTCTAATTGTAATTTAACGTCAGATATGACGATAGTGAGTATTTCACTTAAATTCAATTAATTAAAATAATATAAAAGATTTTTTGTTGTTGTAGTTCACTAGTTATCGAAACTTCTCTAAATCATAATTATGAAACAAACTTACAAGAAAAGTGCCTCAAAACACTGTATCTGCCTTTAGTACTGATACTTTTTGTACAAGTACTTTTTGAAAATATTATATATTATTGTAAGTCCCCGCTATTGAAGTCTGTCAGTTATTCTTATATTTTGATTACGTATTAGATTTAATTACATTTTATAGTAAGTCTATTTTTTGATAAACTTTTAATATTAAATACTTTAGAATACAATATCCGCAGCCCATAAATCAAATCTCACATTGCGTTGTATATAATATAGTTTTACCTGATTCTAAAATAGTAAAAAGTATTATTAACAAGAACACAATAATAATAAACAAGATAACATATGGTATTTCAATTTTTTAGATTCAAATCACTATTAATATAAATAAATGTAAAATAATTTTTTTGTCATATACTTCGATAGTCTTACCTAGACACTAAAAGATAACAGCTTCCAAGTGAGAGAAGTGATATGCCGACATGAAATACTATAAGCGTAGTACCATATTCCTTAAAGGCTTTCTTCATTTGATCCTTTTTACTTAACGGCTTTGGTTCGGTGTCTGTTTTCGGATTGGTGCAATAGCTGCGTTTAGATTGTACGTTCCATGGGTTAGTTGCATAGTCTACTGTAGATTAACATGGCAATGATGTGCTAATGTTAGTGTTATCGAGGATGCATTTCATATTATAAAATATAGCACAAAAAAAGAGAATATTTTGTGATGTTTTATTTTTTTTTTTGTGAATAAAATTTGAATTTTGAAAAAAATAAATAAAGAAAAAATAAATGGTTACAGAAAATTTAACATTGTTTTAATATAATTTTTAAAAATTCAAGATATACAAAAAGTATTAATAATTTAATGTTAATTTTCTATTTTTTCTATTGTATCACAAACTATATAATTGAAAGGCTAAGATAAGAGTTTTGTGTTCAAAAATATATTAATTTAAGTTTGTAAATAATATTAAAAATATTAAGATCTATATATATAAAATTAAGATCTTGAACAATAGAGTGGTTCACACTGAAGTGTATTTCTACAAAAGTTTCAAATTGGAATTTTCTCATCCGGTTAAATTAAAAAAAATCGAACATTCGTTCGGTTCGGGTTCTAGTTTCAAGTGAACATTTTTTAAGTATCTTTATTTCAAATTATTTTCCTTGTCATAATTAAAATCATTTTATTAATTCTTTTTTAAAAACATAATTTATTCAGTTTTTTTTGGTCTCGGTTCAGTTTTGCTTAGAAGTCCTGGTTTACACTCTCCAATGTGCTATAAATTTAGTCACAAACACACAAAGCAAACAAAAAATGAGCTTCTCAGATAAATGTTCCATGATATCTCTATTTTTATAAATGCATTTATCCGTTAATGATTTTTTTTAATTGTTGTTTCTACTATTTTTTTAAACTTTAAAAGGATAAAATTAATCTTATCATTCTGGCTACTAAATAACATGAACAGAGATACTCTTTGCTATTCTCAGGGTATTTCTACAATTTGTTGTTGTTGTTGTTGTTGTTGTTGTTGTAGCACGTTTTAGGGTCCCATCAGCAGTGACGGTACAGCAGACAGAAAGTACATATCGCCTATAATGTTAGAGAGATTTTTAGGGTTTAAAATTGAAAGGTGGATTTTGATACGGTAAGAATAAGGAATTGCAGATTCCGTCTTCTCTTCCTTCTCTTTTACGAATAGAGAATAAAGACGTTTATTTTAAACTTCAGTAATTAACTGCAGCTTAGGAAACTCTGTGAAATCGAACTACATATCAATTGGTTTCAGATTTATGTATACTGTAGGATAGTAAGATAGATAAATGATGTTATGTAGTGCAAAGTTTCCGTATAGATATATCGTAACTTAGATTAGTAAAATCATCATTTCTTCTAAAATGATAACTGTAAAATCAAATGGCTATGAGAACATGGTTTTGGGAAGGAAATTGAATCACTATGTAAGGCTGCGAACTCTTATCGATTTTCGACTTCTGAAATGGTTTACCAATCCCAAGAATTGTATAAATATTCAATGTATGAAGATTTGAATCGACGTGACAAAAACACTTTGCGGTTAATCGTGTAATGTGAATATTTATCTGCGTGACACTCAAGATGTACTGGTACTTAGATTACAGCATCTAAAATTGCTGTTCAAAAGTCGAAGTGTCAAATACTTGTTATTGTTTTCAGCTCTTAATATAGTAAAGTTCTACTATAATTAAAACATGTGATTTGTAAAAGAATAAAATGGATCTTAGCTATTAAATGAAAACGCAATATATGATTTCATGACCTAAACCTATCCATTCGTATATTTTTCTTATTTATTTGGCAAATATTTTGAATAAATAACATTTCCAATTCAAAAAACCACAATAATTATTTTAAAAAGGAACTATATATAACTAAATTATTGAACTTAACTCACGGCATTATAAAGACAGCAGTAAAGAGGTTGTATATGGTGTTTATTATTATTATAATAGTTAAACAGATTAATAAAGTTGCCATGTTATGTGATACTTCACAGTTCTATATTAGATAGTTATTCAATATGCAACAAATGCGGAAGACACCAACAATGGTTGGTGACAGACGAAGTGACCGTCTCATTAAAATATGATTTGATGTAATTTTAGATAATCTAAACGCAATACGAACGGAAAACTTAAGGTTGCAGATGAAGAAAAAAATTGCTTTTTTATAAATCTTTTAAGGTGCGCTGATTCTGAGCTTCACATTTGACAGGACCCGAGTATGATTCCTGGTACTTGCAATCTCAAAAATAATTATTTACGAATTATTAAATACAAGAATTATTTCCAAGACCACTGATGATGGGTATTTGGCAATACTCGAAACAGCTGTATGGTCAGCTAAAAATTCAATTAATTAAAATAAAAATAATATAAAATGAATTTTTGTTGTTGTAGTTCACTACTGTTCGAAAAAATCTATTTATAAATCTTTGTCTTTCAATGTTTATAGTACATTTAAGAGCGACTAAGTAACGTTCCACAATATCTTATGGGCTTCCAAAGAAATGATGTATCCGCAAGTCGAGGTACAACAACAATAAAATAATGCATATGTAGTGAAAAAAATTGTACTGAATATTGCTATAGTACTTCGAACTCCATGTTTATGTTCTATATGTCTTGATATCTCATCACCTGATTATTTCTTACAAATTTCTATAAAATTCACAACTTTCTTTATTTTGATATTATGAAAGACGTACACAAATGAGTTATTGCAACATTAATATATATAAGTATATATACATATATAAATGTATATGAACTGTATTTCATATACCTATATATGTATGTTTATAGCAAATTTAATAAGCTATAAGAGTAGCATTGCACATGCAATACACATGCATATGAAAGATACACAACGTTGCTGAATAGAATACTTTCTAAACAAAAGTTACACATACCTTTTTTGTCAACAACAGCATTTTGGTCGTATGCTACCCAACCTGAACGAACGTTTTTACGTAAAGCGGTATAATGATGGCTTTGCAAGTTCTGTGATGTGAATTTATACTCCTGTGACCATTGACCACCAGGCATATTAAGATGAGAGAATTTGTGCATACCACCAAAAGGAGTGGGTACATTGCTTTGCATTGCTGAATTGAGACTAACAGCACCAAAACAATCATAAGATTGCACATGTGGATCCCAATTAGAATTTCCCATGCTGCTTACTGAGTTATCAGCTGTTATATCGATAGATGGCATAGTGTTTCCATAGTTAGATAAAATTACTGTTGCAGATATATCACGAGAACGTTGTGGAGAAAAGCGTGTTGTTTCAGCAGCATCAATATTATTCGGTAAAGGTAATGCACTTGCTGCAGCATAAATCGGACGCGTTGCTGTTGTATGCATTTGCCTCAACTTAAAAGACAAATCTAAAAATAAAAATTAATAAGTGTAATAATATAAGGGAAGAAATTTTTAAAATTGTTCAAAATATAATTGTATTGAAAAAATAAACAAAATTTTGGTTTACTGATAAGTTATGTTGCTATCCAAGAGATCCACTTAGGCCTATAGACCCACCTAACCTAACTTAACTTTACTTAACTGGTTTGCGGATGCTTAAGTCCTATTTCTACTGAATTCATTAAAAAGGACTTATAAACAGAAAATTCAAAGACATCAGATGGGAGAGTAGTTTTATATGTAATTTGTATAATTGATCGATTTGTGGCACTATGCAGTATTTTAATAGAAAACCACTTTTTCAGTAGTGGTTTCAGTAGTACTGGCAATAACATTATATACACTTTGAAAACAATTTCCTTTTATAAAGCAATTTTTCCCACCGACTTAAGGATGAAAATCCTTAATCTTTTCTTTGCTATTCGAATCCTTCTAAATTTTAAAAATGTTTTTTAAAGAGGTTGTTTCGAACAGTAGTGAACTACAACAACAAAAATTCATTTTATATTATTTTTATTTTAATTAATTGAATTTTTGGCTGTTTCGAGTATTGCCAAATACCCATCATCAGTGGTCTTGGAAATAAATCTTGTATTTAATTATTCGTAAATAATTATCGAATCGGGAATCGAACTCGGGTCCTGCTAAATGTGAAGCTCACAATCAGCGTTGTATTTACAGTCTATTTTTAGTTGTATTTACAGTCTATTGTTAAACATCCAACTAAAAAAATTCCAGACTATTTATAAATCTTGTAATTGCTGTGGACTTAATTTTACTTGTTTGATTTGGGAGCAAAATCCCGCTTCCCGAGTATTCAAATCTACGGTTTGTCGCCGCTGGACAGTTGCATAAAGAAAGCAAAAATGTATATTTTGGTACATCGGGTGCCCCTGCGTAGGCACTCTCTCGCACACAGCCCTTAAGCATGGACTAGATTAACCAATCGAAAATGAAAATTGCAATAAAAGTGCATTAAAAGAGCATCTTTATTGAAAAAATTACCCCAGATTCACCAATCGAAATTGCCAAAAGTGTAGCTTTATTATAATTCTCAATTGGTTTTGTTTTAATTCTCAATAAATTGCTTAGATATTTAGATGAACAGTTGCTTATAATTTAATATAAAATGTTAACTTAAATTCAAACAATACGTGTCATTCGTTCTATGTACTTATAACTTAATAAAAAGCTTTTGTTTCGTAACACATATAACTATTTTATTACATTTTATTCGTTATATACGTATTTGAGCTAATACTTTTTAGACCATATATTAACATTAAAAATTAAAACGATCGGCATCAATAGCGGTAATGTAAATTGGTCGATTGTACACAAGTTGTGAAGGAGCCTACCATGTTCTGAATATCAAGGATTATGTTAAACTTATATAAGCTGAAAGTTACCAAATTTACTGTGCCGTTACATTGCTGGAGAGGCCCTATGCTCTACGAGAAGAAGCGGACTACAGTAAGAAAGTACATTGTTGAATAAATGGAGGTACAAATTGTCTAACAGAGACACTATAGACTACATATCTAACATTATTGAATAAATGGAGGTATAAATTCTTTATTAAAGATACTAAAAAGTTGTCTGACGACATATCTAACATTGTTCAATAAAGATAAATAGAGGTAAAGATTGTCTAACAGAGATACACACTAAAAAGTATGTCTGACGAGGCAAAAATTGAAGTTGTCTTACTTCATACATTCGCTGAAGTACTCAATAAATCTAATCGATGTTTATTAATAGAATGATGTGCGATATTATGGGTAACGAATCAGACTTACTATATGAATTTACATATCTAATATTGAAGAAATTACGGTTACACTTCAAAATAAAGTCTCCTCGTATAATATTATGTCGGCAGTCTTCAAAAATTGTGACTAACACCAATTAGGTTTAAATTATGTCAACTATTAAAAGATCGACAAGTTTTTCGGTTTATACTCGTGTTAATTTGAACTTTGTTTAATAACTGGAATCGTTACAGATCATGAGTGGCTTACTACCATATTTCTAAGCTTACAATTTGCGTGTTGATTTTATAAAAAATTAATAGAAATATCCATTCGTTTATTGTACAAGTGACCTACGATCACAAAAAAACGAAACAGATATTTTTGTTTTGAGTCTCAACGAGTCAAAAAATATATCTAAAAACTTGTATTTTAGGCTATGATGGCGGGATGCAACAAAACATTGATATATTTGATTTATATAACAATCATGCATATATATATATGTATTAGATATAGATACATAATACACTATATCAGTAACTTATAAAATGCATTTAAAAATTGGAAAAAATTCTTACAGCTACGTCTACTTATATATAATGGTTCTAAGAACGGTTGGGTCTACGTTTATAAGTCACCCGTTGAGTTCGACGATCAAGTGTCGTTCATCACATCTGAAAGGAAGTACAGTATCAGATCATTGCGGATTACAACAACAACAACAACTTATATATAGTATTACCATTAACATATATATACATAATATTACAGCTACGAGTCATGTAATGCAGACAGTCATGGTTACGTTCAATGTAAAATTGTAGTTGTTTTTAATGGAAATTGTAAAATCAAGAATGAGAGAAATGTCGTTTTAAATTTAGTATGTCGATCCACCACTAGGAGCTTTGTGTGACTCATCATGCGGCTTAAAACAGTTACTCAGTAATAAATGTTAGAATTTGCGCCTATTAAGAGTAAATATGTACTTTTATATGAACATGTAAGCCTATGCACACAAAAATAAATATCTTTTAAATTAGGGCATAAAAAAAGCACCAAAATAGTGGTAAAAGTAGGAAATGGGCAATTGTGATATGACTCTGTGTATAACATGCGTTTTGGTCATGATATAAAGTGTGTAAAATTGCGGTGATCATTCGTCGTATGACAAATCTCTATATGGCCCTACTTCAAAACGAAAATATTAAAACACAACTATAACAAATGTTTATCATTTATGATCGAGATATAAACCTAAAAACCATAAGCCTGGCACATCCATAAAAATGTTCATCAATCAACGGTTTAAAAAAATGGATTTCTATGCACAGACGAAATGTTGATGAAGTTTTATTTCCTTAAAAATCATATTAAATAGGGTTAAAGCTCTATTAAGAGGATAAACGAATGATGACATGAACGAACATCTATATAAATCGATCATTGTAGTTAGTCCCTAGTGTTCATACATTCTTTCAAACAGGTCTCTTAACTAAATATAATTGCTGGTTCTGTCAGTGTACACATATGACAGCTTCCACTGCACTTATTCAGTTCAGGAAGTATTAAAAACATCTAATAGCATTCTCAGCGTAATTTTCAAATATAATAATAAAATTATTATATATAAATATTGACAAATATTAAAATAGAATTAACCAAAATAGCTCCTCATATGATTGCTAACTTATTACGACGTTTTTCATCTTTTTTTGTATATGAAATTAAAGGCTTGAATATAAAATATGTTTATGTCTTTTATTTATATAAAATATTAAAACTATTTATATACATATACAGTACACTCTCGAACAATACGGAATACGTTCTGTGCTGTAGAAACTCACTTATTCAGTGACATAAATAATCAAAAACGTTTGCAAGTTCAATAACGTCTTTAAAGTTGAAATTTTCGTCATTATGTGTTATGTGAAAGTCTACTGTATATTCGCAACTGTTCCCCATGATGACGTTTATGGCAAATAACGAAATGTTTTATATCTAAAGATCATAAAACCGAAATAAATTTAATAATAACAATGATCAGATTATAAATATTATATGAAATCGCAATCTAGAAACCTACAAAATAAATGACGAATGACAGTTCATTATTCCTGAAAGAACGTTTATTGGTACTTATGAAGTCTTAAGATTATTTTAAGCAATGTTCGTATTCTAAGATTTTTTATATCCTATATATATCCTATCCCTATCCCTATATAATCTTACACTACCATTACCTATCCCCATACTAACCTATGTATACGTTTATGTAATTTCTTTCATGTCATATGCTTTATAAATCCTTGTGATCTACAACAACAATAGCACTGTGGAGTCACTCAATTATAGCCAAGTTTCACGTTAATCTTTGCGGACAAAGTAAGTAGAATTTCTAAAGAAGTTGCACCGGGTGCAACTACAATAAATCTTAAAGTTGAACACTAACATATTATTGAACTAAATATTACTTTGTTTTGTTTTTTTTATATTCATGTATTATTAAAGTAAATATTACCCTGGAGACCATTAAAAGAGGTAACTTACTCTGCTTTCTGCAACTTGCCAATAACATATGGAAAGAACTTAGATCATGTGCAACTTCCAGGTTAACATGGCCCACCTATAACAAAAATAAAACCTCGGAAGTCATCAAAGAATATGGCGTGAACACAGCAAGGCTTACTGCAGTTCTTACTGGTCATTGGTGTGTAGGAACTCACGCAAAGAAACTGAGTATTCCCTATAACTCTCACTGGAGAAGTTGTGGAAACCCGCAGGATTCTCTCTCTTTTCTCTGTGAATGCCCGGCTTTAGCGTCTAGAAGATATAGGTGCTTAGGAAAATACTTCTGTGATAGTTTATCAGACTACTCAACGATGAAGATGAAAGACCTATGAAATTACCTAAATTCGGCGGGATGGATTTAGTCTGTACTGGGGTTCTTGCGAGAAATGTGGTAGCAAAACGATGAAAAATCGCTAATTGAGGTACATTTGAAGTTATCTAATAGCCTGCCACTGCAACTAACCAAATATTCTTGAACAAACAAGTATCTAAACAAAGTTTTTATTTGCTTTGTTCAATAAAATAACACTTCAATGAGAGCAAAAGTGTGGTTCTAAAGATGGATAACAATAGTCATTGTCCGAAATCACTTAACGAGAACTAAGAGCCATTATTGTTATTCAGGAATTCATAAAAAATTCCTTATTTACTAAAAAAAAATTTCCTTTATTCATATTTTGTTCTTCATAGCAACAAAAATAAATTCAGAATTAACAAGCACTTCCATATGACAACGCTTCATTGTTACGATTGATTTGTATATAAAATTTAATTCAATAAAAATTAATTTTCTCATAACACCAGTAACACCACTACACAATATCAGTATAGTTTAATTAATAAATAAAAAGCTATAGAACTCAACTGCAAGATATCACTCATTTATTAGGGCAGGTTAAGGATAACAGAAGTATGGTATTTTAAGTGTCATTGACCGAAAAATAAATAACACAAAAAATAAATAAATAAATCGTAATTCATATATGCACACAACACAAATAACATATATTTATATATTAAAATGTATATTAATTTATCCATAGCACAACAATGACAAATTTTAGCGGCTCTTGATTATTTTGATCTAAATGACCTTCGGCATATATAAACTGTTGCTGGTCCCCTGGTTCCACAACTCATTGTTGTGTCAGTATCTTTTTATAATCAGAAAATATAATTAATTAATTTTTATACTTATTTACCATTAAATTGCTTTGTTAAATCATTATTGCAATATGTAAAATTCCTTTTGGACAAAGTTGAGGCACAATTTAAAATTTTTTTTGAGTTATACATTTTTCTTCCGTATATTAATAATTCTCACTTCTTTCAGTATTGCTTTTAGAAAAACAAATGAATATACGGATTGGCTCAGGCAATTCTAGCGTAAATGATCAGTGTTGGTGAGTGTTCAAAAATAGCATTTTTTCTATTATATATCGCAAATAATACTACTGGTACTACTACTATTTTTGTGCAAAAATCGTAAGATCGTTACAATACTGCATATAATGCATATATTACTGTTTTATTGTTATGACAGTATCATATTGGGATTTAATTGATACAATTGAAAGAGAAATGATCTGTATTTTTTTTATTGGAACAATATGAACTTCAAATGATACAGCAACGGACGTTATTTGTCAGCTGTTCTTTTGTTTATGTATTTAATACATTTTTTTATCAATTACAGAAAAGTATTATTAAAATACATACATATCTCACTTAAGATCTAAGCTGTATATAAACACAACAAAGGTGGGAACTAATAGCAATGCAATGAACAAAAAATTGCACTCGCACAGTCTAGAGCATTATGAATTATGTGTCCAAAGTAAAAGTAAATAGGCCGTGTCCAAGTTCGAGTAAATCGAGGTAAAGTTAATTGTAATTTTCTAAGGATTTTTTGCACCGCACTTATGTAAATATTTATTTATTATTTTTTTGTTAAAAATTTTCAAATATATTTATTTATTTATTACACATCTTATAAAATTTTCCCAATGGTAATACCTTATTTACCTAATTTTTATCTAATTTACTCTACTCGAAATTCTGGTAAATACTAGTGCTGTTCACATTATTCGAAGTTTTTAAAAATTCGAAGTTCTTCGAATATTCGAATATTCGCATTTCAACGAAGTCTTCGAAGTTGGAAAAAACTTCGAAGTTTTTGTAAATTTTTGTTCTCGAAGTCTTCAAAGTTCGAAGTTTTTCACTACACTTAAACTTCGAAGACTTCGAGAACAAAAATTTACAAAAACTTCGAAGTTTTTTTCAACTTCGAAGACTTCGTTTACTATTCGAACATTCGAATTCTTCGAATACTTCGTAAATTCGAATATGAACAGCACTAGTAAATACCAACATTCGCTGCCATACCGACATAATTTACTATTTTCCTCAATTTACTATCAATTTTCTCGAACTTGCACACGGCCGATAATGGTAAAAGTTTGTAACACATGATACTTTTTATATCAATATTCTTAAAAAGTTTAAGTTTATTGCTCCAACTCGATTATTTGTTAGAAAGTTTATATACAATGTTATGTTATAAAAACTGAAAAAAAACTAGTTTAGTCTAGTTTCATAATTTAGTTTAGTCTTTCATAATAACTTCATTCAATTCTCAATTCAGAGTAAACATTTTTCTGTATCTTAAAAGAAATTTTTTAAGTTCACATAATAAATTTCAGTGAATAATATATAAATCAAAAACAACCCCCACCCTCATTAGGTACGCTATAATATCACAAATAAAACGCTTATATACTTAATTGAATTGTTTAAAAACACAATAAAAACAAATCTATTGCAATGTTAGGGTTGCAAGTATAATAAAAATAAAATACATTTAAGGGCTACCACGAATGATTTTTAATAAAAATTTTGCGAGCACATTGCAAAATACATATTATATATATATATATATATATAGAAATTATATATATAAATTATATATATTATTATTTTTTGATTATTTAAGAATTGTTTTAAAAATAATTCAATTCTTCTTTGCAACAAAATGAAGTCTTGAACATATAAGAGGTATTCTCTTATATGTTTACACTCTCTCTTGTAAACTCGTTGCACTGTACACGAAATGCACAGATAGCGCCAGCTTGCAATTACTATTATTATTGCAATTAATAACAACAAAATATACATACAAAGTTTCTTGAAATTGCTTGCAATCTTCCTATACCTAAGTCCATATATATGTGCTTGCAAGACAACGAAAATGGAAAAAATTGATGTTTTGATATCTGTTGCTCATCTTTAAATTTGAATTTGGTGGGAAAAGATAAATTTGTTAAAATATTATACAAATTTTGATTGTTGAAGAATTCCTAATTATTGTCATATGTATGTACACATACGTATGTATTATATATTTATATTCGTATATTATTGATTGCTGAACATTAATATATACAAAGATTTGGGTTTCGACTCTCTTTCATGTACGTAATCCCCATGTTCCGTATCACCCCATGAGGGTCGTAAAATGTTGCGCAATATGCAACAAACACGGAACCAATTTGAACAAAGATTATGACTTGTACTATTCCAAATACGGATTTTTAACTGCTTAAGACTACCAAGGCGTTCTTTTAGAAGTCCAAAACAGCTTGACTTCTCACTTTTGGAGTAGTCAAGCTGTTGGAAGGTTGACCGAAATGGAGTTATAAGAGTTTTAAGTAGTAGATGAGCTGAATCGCCTGTTAACCATTGTTCTATAGAAAATAAAGCATCTTCTTGGATAAAGAGTGTGCTTGTACGAAACATACGTGCGTTATGTGCACTTCCAAAGTAAAGGACTGTGACATGTCGAATCTTCAGCTGATAGTCATTTACAACTTGTGCTTTTACTGAATACACTCTATTCTTTGAATAATAGGATGTATGGTTAGCCACTTGTGCTTCGTCAAGTTTTAATCTGTGCCGTCAATATATCCAACACAATATGGAAGCTTATCGGGTTGGTTTCATTTTATTTGAATTAGGGAGTCGCACCTTCTTAAAGGATACCGTTTGCAACATAGACGTTTGGGATTCTATTTTTGAAGTTGTTCTTCAGGAATGGTGCTCTGAAATTATCCATTAATAGGTATCACAATGAGCCATTATTTGCGCTTAATTGAGCATTGGTGCATAACACTGTCATTCCAAGCTAACTTCAGGCTTAAAATAAATAAATATTATTTTTAAACTTTAAGAAATTAATTCAATAGAAAACTGATCATTTAGTTTTTGTTTAGTTTAAAATTGAAAAACCGTCTATATAAAAAAAATACGTTTTTACTCTTGTGTATGCAACAGAAACTTTTTAGAATTCAACTAATCTAATTTGTATAGTTATTTTTAAATAATATATTTTCATATTAATTAATTAATATGTAAAATCAGTTTAATTACTTTTAACTAATGTAATTTTATTAAAACCTTAATTTATTTTGTATAATTTTTTCGTAACATTATATAATGTTAAATAATAATTAGAATTATATAATTTAAGTGATACTTTATTGTAGTACTCAGCAATGTTAATGTCTGTCCATACTTATAGCTGGTCTCATTAAAAGATCACGTTTTAATGCGCATCACGTAAATTATTTGCACAAAAGAAATAGTTACGTTGTAATTATTTGGAAATCCTTATATTTTTATTAAGAAGTACTAACTAGTAACTACAAACTAATAATTATAATAAAAACAATGATACTAAAGTTAGACTGTTTTTTATTTTAAATTGTGATCCATTTTTTCCGGATTTCTTAGGTTTGTCAGTTCATAATATTTTTTCAGTTCTAACACTGGCTCTCCCGAGTAATCGAGTGGTGAATTAGAAATAAAAAGGTAAAGGGATATAAATTAAAAGCCTGTATCCTTATTTCTTATTGTAAATATATACATATTTGTATACTGTAATACGCATACCTAAAATTGATAACATATTAGTTAAAACATAACAACTTAGTTAAAACATATATATATATAGGTGCTATATATATTATAAAGCAAAGACAATTATAATGGCAAAGACAATTGATATATTGTTGTGTTTTGAAAATTATATATTTTGGACCATACATATATATATACAACTTTGCCATTCAAATGCTTTGTAATATATATGGTACGTATTTAATAAAAGGAGTTTCGATTGTTATTGGTATATTACAAGCAAACACAATTAAGTTAATGCTATTTTATTGAGAATTGAAATAAGATTATGTTACATTGATAAAAAATTAAAAATATTTGATAACAATAATTTATAGAAAAGCGATTAAGTAGAAAAATTTTACTATAATAATGTTTTTAATTCTTAAAAAATTAGGTTCAATGATATTTCTCGAATATCGTTGAATATTCCTTAACAAAAAGCTTTGAGTGTATTCTCATTTATTTCTCCGAACACATTTAATCACAAGTGCCAATCTGTAAACCCTGCAAATTTTTAATCTAATTTAATTTAATTGTATTTGGTTAAAAAAAAATTGTGTTTTATTATATATATTATTATAATCTATTATTATATCTATTTCTTTATAGATATAAAATATAAAGATATTGTGACATTTTGGTATAAATAAAATATATAATATGTAAAATATCTTTATAGATGTAAAAAATCGATATATAATCTATATATTAGATATCTATATATTATTTGTATACATTATTGTAGTCAATCTTAATCATATTATCGGGCCTATTTACACTATATAAATGTAACATGAACATGAACTTGAAAACCGGTTAACGATAGATGAGAGAGGGAAGAGAGTGTGATGTGAGTTCATGAATTTCATACAATGCTGCGTTTCTTCAGCTTGACACGCAACATATGCAATGTTATGTTTATGTTTACCTTTTAATGCTGAATACCCTCAATTTCTGTGCATTGCACTACTACACACAAGCATTTTATACGTTTACACAAAACAGAACAAATTTTACGCTCTTGAGAGTTCATGGTAGTGTGAACTGAACTGACAATTCATGTTGTCGTCAAGTTCATCTCACGTTCATGATAGTGTAAATAGGCCCATCAGGATGATAATATATATATATTTGTTCTATTGAATTAAATTGATTTCGTTTCTTAAATTTGTTTTTATTAAATATTTATGTAATTAAATAAAAAATAAATATTTAACATATATTTTTTTACAATTATTGATATATATATTTTTTACTTTAACTTGAACTTGATTTTGTTTTATTAAATATCTTTATAATTAAACAAAAAATAAATATTAAATATAAATTTCTTTACTATAAATAATTGTAGTTAATATATATATTTTTTGCGTTAAATTGAAATTGATTTTGTTTCTTAAATTTGTTTTTATTAAATATTTATGTAATTAAATAAAAAATAAATATTAAATATAATAATAATTGTAGTTAAAATATGAATCCCAAAATTATGAATAATTTGTTTCACATACATAATTTTCAAAAATCTAAACACCCAATAATTGTCAAAAAGTGAATACCTTTTATAAAATTATATGATAATTTTTTTTAAGTGTATTTCGGTCGCAAAAAATACAACCATGCACATAGCTACCAACATTCCGCACTAAAAAAATGGGCTGAGGAATAAAAGTGAAATTTCTAAGAGCAAGAAAATTGTTTTGATTCGCAAAAAAAAAAATACAATTACGTTCATTCATTAAACATATATCAAGTGCGACATATCAGACTATAGATATATAGTAAGTAACTAACTTACTGTGTACTCTATATAGTTAGTGTTAGTGCAACTGCTTCGTAGTACAGTGTTAAGATGTGATTTAAGACTCCGTGCGAGTCAATAAAATTTTGCAGAATTGCGTACAATTATAAAGAAAAATTTGCAAAGGTATTGGTTGCGCTGACAGCGACCCGTTTTGCCTTCACAAAGTATGGCAAACGATTTAGCGGCGCACGGGACCAGCTTTGCAGCTAATAGTGATACGGGTACTCGACTAATTGGACAACAGGACTATGAACAGCAACAACATTTTACTAGGAATGGGAATCGCTGGCAATCCTCAAGATTTGCATCATTACGATGTTGTGGCAATTTAATAACATATCTGTTAAGGTTGCGAAGTACTCCTGAAGAACTGGAGCAGCGCTACAAATCTAGAGAAATTGATAAATTTTTAGAAAAAGAGAAACACACATTCAGACGACAGGTATTTATTTTTAACATTATAAAAAGTAAACCAACACAAACAATACTAGGCGTACAAATTACTTTTATTTAGTTAACAAATTAGCATATACATTTCAAAAAACTGCCACCCGCCGCCGTCGGTGCCTCCGCAACAATCAATATTCTTTAAATCACAACAATGGCATAATTTAAGTGAACGTTTAAAGTATTATATATGTATGACTGTCTATTAATTTAAATATGCATATTGCGTCTTTTAACATATCATCCCATTGTGGATATAATTTAGACCAATTGTAGGATTTTCCAATGATGCGATTTTTGTCGCTCTCATGATTAATCAAATGCGTAAGCATGATTTTTTGATCTTTTTAAAAGTATTAAATTTCTAATTAACTTAAAATAATTTGGCTCGCCAACAAGACTTGAGTCAAGTCACTTCACGGATTTACAAATATATATGTATGGATATGTAGATTTATATCAAAAAGTGTGAAATTGTAAATATTTAGTCACCTGAAAGCAAAATGTGTATTTGCGGTAACTCATAGGAATTGTTTACATCTGAATTGCTCCAATTACGAAGGTCACTCACTCTATGTATGAAGTAATTTGTGATTGTAAATGATTTTTTTTTGTTCTTCTAAATATTCATATAGTTTTATGATCTATACATTGAAAGAACTTCTCATTATTTCAAAAGATAGGACTACCAAAACCAAAACTAGAAAATATGCTTATCGGAAGAAGCTTGTCTTCATAATGCGCATCGAAATAATTAATGATTTTTAAGCTATTATAAAGACCAGAAATCCCGCTCAAATTACAAAACTTTCTTATTAAAGCAATCTTCAAAAATATTAAGCTTCCTAATGGAAATGTCATGACATCTAACAATACTGTGAGTTGCCAATGTTTACAATATGAATAGTGGCTCTCGTAAAAAGGCTTTTGTACAACTATTTGCTATATCCGTTTCATTGTAGGAAGAGACTTTCTATGAGAAAATTATTATTGTAAAAAAAACTGCTGCTTAAAAAAAACTGAAAAATCGTTATGTTATCTGGATCCATATTAAATGTGCTCCAAAGCGCTCCTAATAAATTTTACTTTAATTACATACTTTTGTTTTGTAAAATAAAGAATTGGTTTTGGGGAAATATGTAGTTCTATAAAGTGTCTAATTGCATTTAAATTGTTTACTACCTTCTCTTTCGCTTTTCTTTCTAATCTCTCCCTCTTTCACCTGTACCGCTCTTTCCCACCTTATTCCCGCTTCGCACTCTTTCCCACCTTACTACCGCTTCGCACTTTCCGCTCTTTTTCCCGGTTCGCACTCTCCGCCCTTTCTTCCGCTTCGCTTTCTCCGCCCTTTCTCCCGTACCGCTATCTCCCAAATTTTCCTCCTTGCTGATCTCTCTCTCACATTTCTCATTTTTCTTTCTCATAACGCTCTCTCCTTCTCTGATATTGTTATAACTCGAAGAATTTTTGAAGCAAAAACATAAATGAATTATATGACAAATATGCTATAAAGTATAGGATGTTAAGAAAAGCTGAGGGATGGTGAAAGAGAAGGTGAAGTGAGTTGAACTATACTCATTTATGTACTTTTGATATTTTTCATAAATCGGTGCAATTTTCATAGTATTTTACAATAAAATTTGTGATTGTCTTTATTCGTGTTTTGTTTGATAACAAAATCGTAGGAATTTTCTAATAAATGTCTTTAATTACGGTTCGTTTTATATTAGTAACTTTATCATAGCAAATGTTGTTTACAGATATCGTTGGATTTCTTGCTTTCGTCTTGTGCTTTTATATCACTGCATAATATATACATATGTGGTGATGAATGATTTAGTTGAAAAGCGCAATCATATTGTTTGATTCAAACGCAAAAGCTTTGTACCAAAGAAACATAACATTTACAACAACAACGATGTTCTCTTCTGTGTGTGCTGAAATAGTAAATAACGCAAATTGAAATTTGTTAAATTGATTATTGAATTACCAACTCAGAACTTATGTAAATGGTACATTGGCAAGAAAATAAGTCTATTTAGTATCGAAAACTTGTTTGTTGATAAATTGATTGATAGATTTTCCGTACATTATCAACTCCAGTTATTCATAAATCACAAATGCAAGAGTATCAGTAACTCCTTTTAACTGAAAAATAGTTTCTAAATTTTATTTTTTAAACGATTTGATAACTTAATTCAGATACAAACTACAGTGAGAAAACATTTCTAAAGAATATTTAAAATATTTTATTGAACTATTGTTCAATATATACAAATATTTGTTCTATATAATATTATTAATAGTCGTAATAGCATGAGCATTTTTTTTATATTAAAGTATATTATAAGAATAAAAAATAGAAGTAGTATAGGATAGAAAATTGGAAAAAGTGAAGATCGCAAAGTGCCCGATCTGGAAAATATGATGGGTGTGGTAATACAGTATATCTGAACTTTAAAATTTTGTGGCAAGCTTCCAAAATTTTATGAGATATCCTATTATATTGGTAGAATATTGCACCTTATTTAATTTAAAATAAATGATTTAAGAAATGTTAATTTATCTTATAAGAAAATATGCATATAGAGTACAAAGTATACGAAATTTTTAATTTGAAATTCGCGAGAAAAAACTTGAATTATTATTTTATTTATTAATATTAAGTGTAGTTAAAAGAAATCCATTATACTCACAATAGATGACTTCAGTTATCTGTATTCGGCGTTATATAAGTCCGATCGAAATTATACTAGATTGTGTTAGAAAGATGTGATTTCGTACTAAAAAAATAGTTTGGTTTTGACAGTTTGGTAATTGGTTGGCTCAGTTTTGTTTGAGTGCGCGTTAAAGAAGGACACTAGCCATGTTTTTCAATTTTTTTTTATAAAGGCGAAAACGCAGGCAAGAAATCAGACGGTTAAATGTGTTTAAGGTCCTAATACTGTAACAGCTAATCATGCGCAAGTTTGGTTTCATCGATTTCGTTTCATCGATTTCGTTCTGGTAATTTCGATGTCAAAGATGCACAAGGCACTGGAAGGTCAATTGTCGAAAATGTAAACAAAATATGGAAATTCTTCGAGCCCGACCAACATGTAAACATTGTTTTGATTGCCTAAAATCGTTTGGAACCATTTGAATAAGGTTAGATACAAATAGAAGCCGGCTAAACCGGTGGTCAAACCAGAACTGACGGTCAGAAAGGTTTTGCTGGTTGTTTGTAGGGATTGGCAGGGAATCATTTACTACGAGCAGCTTGAGAGCCCTAACGGCAAAACTCTTAATTCGGAATTGTACCGTTAACAATTAGACCTTTACTGTCTAATTGTTAAGGAAGCAAGCAATCGCCCAGAAATGATTATCTTTGGGCAATAGGAGAGGAATTGTTTTCCATCAGGACAACGTAAGGCCATACACATCGATAATAATTCGCTAAAAGCTTTGGGAGCTTAATTGAGAAGTTTTTGTGCATCCATTTTATAGTCAAAACCTGGCACCAAGTGATTACCATCTGTTTCTGTCCATGGCAAACGATTTTTCTTGTGAAAAATTCGCGTCAGGAGAGACCTGTGAAAATCGACTGTCTTAATTCTTTCCTTCTATAAGAGAGGCATAATGAAATTACATTCAAAATAGCAACAACTTTTTAGAAAAAATGGCGCATATTTAACCAAAATCGGATCATTCTAACTATGGTAAATAAGCCTTCATTTTCATGGAAAAAATGTAGATTTCTTTTTACTACACCTACAGCTATAGTATTATAAAAACTTAAAGGGATGGGTTAAATTTATAGTTGTTGTTGTTACTCGAAAGTCTGTTGAAGAAGAAAACAAGAATGGAGTATATGATGAATACATTTGGTGAACTATTAATTTATATTATTATTATGTTCAAGATATAAATTTGTCGTCCTAGTACAGGTTTGCTATTTTTAATATCAAATGAATTATTTTAAAACTAGAAACTAAGAATATTTATGCTTTATATTACAAATAAAAGCTCTATTGCAATTGTTATGTTTAAATGTGTTAGGTTAATCATTGGTTTCGTTGCAACGTAGATAAATATCAAACACACTATCAACTTAATGTCATTACTATTGTATAATCTATTGTTTTTGTTTATACTTTTGTAAAGATGTTCTGTATGTATGCTAATGAAAGGATGTAAGTCTAAAAAGATCTGAGGTCAGATTAATTACTCGTTTTCTACAAAAAATTCTCTTGATAACTATTAACTTTTAAAGATGGTACAGTGATACATTCGCTTATCAACGGAAAATATGTGGTGGATTGCATCTAATGATGTCTACTTTGAAAGCGATAAATCGTCACCCATTAACTAAAAATGTGTAGGGGATTATGTCAAACGCTAACATAATTGTGTACCACTTGATTGATGGGGGCATATTTTAAAAGCGATAAATAAATTTTGATTGAGCAATTAATTTTGTTTTTGTTTTATTTAAAAATAGTTTCGCACAGAATACACGTTACAGATTTCAAAAAAGTTACGGATAGGTAATCTAAAACGCAGGTTTTCGGATGCTTCCTTAAAGATCAACCGAACTAAACTATTTTCTATCAATAATGCTATAAGATTATGGATCAATTGAAGAAAATAGTTGATACAGTTTCGAAAGTTGCATTTCTACACTTTTTAAAAACACGGAATGGATTGATCATATTGTATATGTATTTGTTATGGGTGCTTGGTGATATACGATAGGTTTACTTTTTTTTGTAGTATTTATTTTGTATAATTAGTTGTGTTGATCCTCAATAAATGCTTCTTAAATAGAAACGATTACGACATATTAATAAATATATTTACATTTCATTTAAAAATTCACAAACTAATTGAATATATGGTTTTACTCCCTTTTAGTTGCTCGTTTTCAATATTCAACGACTAAAACTAGGCTAGTTTTAATTATTACCTACTCACAACCTCATACCTAACCCATGCCACAAAAAGAAAAAACTGTCGTTCTTGCTACTTTCGTCATCCCCTTTCTCCCACAAGTATTCGTCTTGTAATTTCATTCATATTGCATGCTCTATAGGTCCTCGCGGGTAACGAAAACATTAACAGCTTGGAAAAAGCAGCTGTAACCTATTAAGCGGAGAATATTCGGGTAAACCGAATATTCTGTGCAAAGCTCACGTAAAATAAAATTAAAATTTATTATGATGAATGTTCTTATTGATTTCTTATTGAATGTTCTAATCATTGAAAAATGTAGTAATAAAATACAAATAGTTTCGAATATTGTATCATTCATTATTTATTTATTTTCTGAAATATTTTTATCGGTACATGAAAGCTACTGGGCAAAAAAATATATAGATTTTGTAGAGGCGACTGGTCTTTTATATGTATAAGTATACAATTTGTGTTCTTTCTAAATGATTTATTATTATAATTTATGCAATTAAGTTTTCTGTACGTGCTGTTCATGATTTAGATTAATTCGATTTTTGCAATAGTTAAAATATTATAATTTTAACCTGGTGGCATGTGGTAGATGATGCAGCTTTCCGTAACAAAAGTTAAGATATCTCTAACCAAGTTTCTTACGACATTCCAATTTTGTGCGAAAGGAAAGAAATGGTACTTTAAAAAAAAAATGCGATTTTTCAAAAAAAAAAATAGAAAACAAAAACTTTCAAATTAATCTGTCTGACTGAACTTTGATTTAATTATTAACCAGCATCTCAAAACCTAGATAGTTTCCTTTAAAAGACGAGTATAAAAAACGCTATATGATAGAAACAGTAAAACGTCTTCGGAATAAAATAATATATATGAAATATGAATAAATAACAATTTTACAAAAATTTTGATAAGAAAGGTTTTCTTAAAATAGAATAATAAAAACTAACAGGTTACTGGGGTGCCAATAGAGCGGAGCATTGAGATCATGACAGATCTTATGTCATGTTATCTTTTGAACAGAACACACTTAGTCCACGAAAATTTCCTACTTAACGAGAATATTTGTTAAAATCATTGACAACTTTTTAAAAAACTGTACTTTGAACCACTAAAAAATTTTGGACTTATTTTAAGGATATTTAATAGTCTGAAAAGTGATATATGACTTATGCTATATTATTTGAATAAACTATTTTTAAAGGTAGAAATTTCTGAAGAAATTTCTTGTATCTCGCTTAATATCGATAATTCATAGCTCTCCCGTCAACCATACGATTTTGTTCGCTTTTTGGACCGTGTATTTTCTGATTATTTACCGGATTAATTAAAAAGACCATAAAAACACGATTAAAAAAATGACACTTTTGTTAGTTTAAATACCCAATTGTTTGCGGTTCAATATCAGAGTACAATGATTTATTTAAGATTTGATTATGAGGTTAGTAGCATCTATTAAACTCCATGTTTTTTTCTTAATCTTATCATGTTGTCACTTATAATTCTAAAAAACTGCCTTAACCTTCCTGTTAATGAGACTGTTTTCGTCTTTTATGGAGAACGTTCATGAAGAAGAGACCACTATTTTGACTGTTCTTTCGTTTTCGAAGTATAACAAGTATCCATGTTTTATCTTTTTATACAAATTACTGCGAAGTATAATAATAGTTGCAAACGATAATATAAATCTTTTGAATTACCACAAAATATTTGCGAACCCTGTTATGAATATATATTATTCCAATCAGGGTTCGCAGTGAGTAAAAGTAGAATTTATATAACGTAGTACCGACAATTTTACTTAAGATTTTTACTATATCTGCAATCTCGTATAACTTTATTCGGCCATTTACCTAAGTCGTTACCACCTCATTTGAATGTCCTGTCTGCTCAGCATCTTTAGAGGTAAAACCTTTCCTATTTTCAATACAGACCCCATATTGATTTCTTTTTGTTTCACTGTCTTTTTTTTTAATGTTGTCCTTAATATGCACACGAAATTTTTGTTTCTCCATTTTTTGGAAATTTACGAAAACTCGGATAAAAAGCCGTAACAAAAAACAAAAGCGAAGCTTCCATATTGCAGAAATAATTTAGACTCAAGTTTAATTATAATCTAATATTGTTAGATAATTAAAAAATATTTTAAATCCTATTTAGTGCATAATTATCGCTTTATCAAAAAGTCTTCGTAATGACACGACTTGAATGATTTAAATTCATTCTGTAAAGTAATGTTAACTTAGTGTCCTTCATTCGATTTACATAAATAAAAAATCAAGCACATTTCATTTAACTACACATATATTTTTTACTATTTAATTTTTTTAAATTTATTAATTATTTTTGTAGGTAAAACTTTTACTTTTGGGCGCTGGTGAGTCAGGAAAGTCAACATTTTTAAAACAAATGCGAATCATACATGGAGTCAATTTTGAGCCTGAACTAATACGTGAATACCAACATGTGATATACCAAAATGTAATACGAGGTAAAAATCATTTTATATACAATAGTATTATATATTATGCTCGCAGATGATATATATTAATGTTTATATTATACATTTCGATTAGGAATGCAAGTATTAATTGATGCAAGGGAAAAATTAGAAATTGCTTGGGAAAATAACGAAAAAGAAAACGATGCAAACGACGCCAAATTTTTAGAATGCAACTCAATAGAGGTAGAAAAGTTTGTGCAGTGGGCACCACTCATACGAAGGCTATGGCAGGATCGAGGAATTAAAAGAGCCTACGAAAGGCGAAGGGAATTTCAAATTGTACGCATTTTATAAAATATTTTATTATTAAAATATATTTTAATATATACATAAATGTTTGGTTTGTTTGCAGAGCGATTCAGTCAGTTACTTTTTAGATGAAATAGATCGCTTAGCTAAATATGATTATGTACCTACACACAGGGATATTTTGCATTGTCGAAAAGCAACCAAAGGAGTTTATGAATTTCGTGTAAAAATACAGGTAAGTTTAAAATGTGTTACTAAATATTTATCTGCTAGCTTTGACTTGCAAACTTGCTATTTGGTTGTACGTGTTACAAATGTCAACTTAAACATATAAATGCTTGGAGAAATAAGTGACATTTGATCATCTGTGTTGTCCAGTGATTCTAGACAAATGTTTTTCACTTGACTGTTCTAATTTATTTATGTCTTGCAAATTGATTATTGTATAATCTTTATCATGACTAAAAGCTACTAATAGTTCTCCAGTAATGGACTAACAGTCGTTCGCCAATATATGCGATCAGGTGCTTCTCTCCACTCTCATCAAAAACCCAAAGAGCAGGTCTACTATATGGACTACAAAAACATCAACAATCTAACAATATGGTGTAGCAATATTATTGCAAACCTTTCTTAAGTAAACATATTCTGCAAGTTAGAAATCTCTTTCTATAAGCTACTATCTATAAGTTACTTCCTGAACTGAGAAAGTATCATTGTTTAATCTCGTATCTCATATTTAAGTGTTTGTAAGGGTGTGAAAAAATTCACAAAGTCGCTATTGTATATTGAAAGCATACAAAGCAATATTGTGATCTACAACAGCTTATGTGTTTTCAGTATGGACCGACTAGGTTTACGAAACGCATTGAAATTTTAAGCGGTTATTATAATATGCAATCTGAAATACCAATTGCTAAAGAACATAACAATTGCTGTAATATAACAATTTTTACTTGTATGACACATAAATGAATATACATCCATAAAGCATATTAATCGCTATTACCCATCCAGCAAGAAAACATTTTGAACGTCGAATTAGGAGAACGACTATAAATCTTTTATTCCAAAGCTATTAGTCTCTTATTTTTTTAAATATGTTCATTAAAAATATTAGTAAAGTTTAGTAAATAATTTAATAATAAAAGTAAAACTATAGGTTAGTATATATAAAGTTAGTTGGCCAAGAGCACATATAGACCTGACGAATCCTTAGCAATGTTGTTATTGTAGATTACAGAGATATGATGGTGTAGCTTTTTTTTGGTAGTATTGAATAGTGCTTTTTCGTTGAACTTGACGATTAGCTCCGCGACATAGACTTAATCACTCTTGGAACTTTAGTAATACCAGTTTAGAGTTGTTGTTCTGACTTACAGTTGTTAATGTAGTCACATATTATTTAAAATATGTATTAGCAAATAGAGGTACACTTCACTCCAATATCGTGAATACATTTTATGATACTAACTCTGAAGAGTTTAAGTGGTGTTTTTAAAAGAGTCTGAAGTGCATACTTTTTTACTTCCTGCATTCAGCACTGCTAGCAATATTTGGATTATGCATATGTATTGCAACTGGAGTATGCCCGGTAAAAATATCGACTATCGTTCATTCGCTCGAATGATAAAACATCACCTGTCTCATTTGTAAATAGTTGAATTTACGCGGCCTGTTTTTTTAGCTTTTTCCAACATGTGTTTCTTTGATTGTCTATATATATATTACGTACATACCTGAATATTTTGCTTAGTTTTTGGTGTAAATTTTAGTAATATCACAGAAACCTTACCTTAACTGTTTTAAAGTAAAAGTCATTTACTAACTCCTATATGTTTTAATTTTTTATTAATTTATATGATAATCGTATATATAAAACTATTTTCTGCACATTCACAGAAAAGCGAATACTGTATTTACATATATTATAATATTTAAAAAATAAGTTAAAAAGTTAAAATCTTAAATCTTATTTTTTTCGTAGAACATTCCATTTGTGTTCGTTGATGTCGGCGGACAACGTACTCAACGGCAAAAATGGACCAAATGCTTTGATACATCAGTAACATCAATCATATTTTTGGTTTCTAGTTCAGAATTTGACCAAGTACTTGCAGAAGACAGGTAATAGATAATATTATATAAAATTAAAAAATTATTTATTTAATAACATATTTTTCACATTATAGAAAAACGAATAGACTAGAAGAGTCGAAAAATATTTTCGATACAATCGTGAATAACAATACTTTTAAAGGCATTTCGATAATATTATTTTTAAACAAAACCGATTTACTCGAACAAAAAGTACGCAACCCAGAGACTGATATACGCTGGTTTTATCCACAATTTAATGGTAACCCACACTCATTGTTGGACGTACAAAATTTTATATTGGAAATGTTTATGAGAGTGCGAAAGAGTCCACAAAGTCGCACATATCATCATTTTACCACTGCCATAGATACGCGCAACATAAACGTTGTATTCAATTCTGTTAAGGATACAATATTGCAGCGAAATTTGAACGCTCTGATGCTGCAGTAATTCTATACTACGAGTGTTTTACGAAAACAATGTAAATTATTTAATACTCAGAGCTCATAACCTATACAGAATAATGCCATAATTCAGCTCTAGCTCAAACTAATTTACGTTGTAAATTAGTGTAGAAACAACGAACAAAAAGCAAAACATTGGATACAATTGTTCAACTGGCACAGATACGAATCGTTAAATCGCGATGAACAAAAAAAGGTTATGGGAATTTATAGCGCTTGCTCTCCATTAGTGCCAGCAACTTTTGTTGTAGCTCCGAAGTTAATCGAATAAAATAATATAAAATATTTCTTTTTTATTTTTGTATTTTTGTAGTTTTATTTATAATATTTTTTTTAACGTTATAATTTGATTTTATTTATAGTTTTATTTAATTTGTAATTTTTAGTTATTATTATGATTTTGATTATTATGTTTTTTAGGTCCATTTTTTTAATAATATCGAAATTGTTTTAGCTTTGTATTTTAATGTGTAAATATATTTATATAAATTATTCCTGCACATATGTATGTAAGCATGTATACAAAAACATAATACTAACCTCATTTCTCACTTTTAATGTCCCTTTTTTTACTAATATAACTTATATTAATTATATTTTTATATGTAAACAAAAATTTTTTATTAACTTATTGTTTAAATTAGTTCCAAAATTTAATAGTATTCTTTTAATAATATTTATATATTAGTGTATCTGGAGAATACTCCTCTATGCAATTTATAGGAACTAACAATATAAATTTATACAAGTATATTTTGCTACTATGATATACATCAATATATATATATATATATTTATTTATTGATATATGTATATTTTTTTATATTATCGTATATACATATAAATATATATACATTTAAAATTATCTCATATTGCTATATTTTATATAAATATTTTATATATCATAAAGCAAAAAAAAAAAATTAAAATACGAACACACTGAACCACCCATTGATGGTGATTAATTCTAGTTTATGTAAATTTACTATATATATTATATATTTTGTATTATGTATGAAAATTGTTCTCATAGAGAAACGTAAAATGAAAAAAATATATATACCAATTAAAACTTTAAAAAGAATAAAAAATAAAAAGCTAAAATTAAATCATATACAAATATCAAAAAAAGCATATATTGTTTTTATTTTATTTGGGTTTGAGGAATGTGGCTCTGCCAGTTGAAAGCATACAATAGCATAAAATGCATTTGGTTCACCATTAAAGAAGATTCTTAATGGTAGTAAATAAATATGTAGTTTGTTGTTACTGGTGTAACCTAAAGAGGTGGTTTTGCTCCTATTGAGAGGGGTGAGTGGCAATTGGTCGTCTGGAATGGCGAGCGAAAAAAACCCAGCCGCTTTTCGTATAATGATCTATGTTGGTTTAATTGGCATACTATATTCCTAATCACATTGTATGTAATTTAAAATACTTAAAAGGACACAGTTCATACATAATTTATCAACTGTCAAGTCTACGTCATTGATGCACTTGTTTAGAACAACCGAATATCGGGAGATGGAATGATAATAGTATTGAAAGATGTCGCACACCCTCTTCAAAAGAGGCACAACTTGAAATTCGTCAATTTTGAGTTAATGTATGGAACTTGCATATAATTCACCTGTCCATTAACACGAAATAGTCGACTTTGTTTTTATTATTGTGAATTGATGAAAAACAGTTATATTTCTTTTTTTGTTAGGAACGTCACTACGCTGTAAAATGAAATCGATAATTGTGCCTCTTTTGAAGAGGGTGTGCGGTATATAAGCTCTTTAGACTTAAATAGAAACATGCACTATAAGGCACTGAAACTTTTTAACATCGATTTACATTGGAGTAGTACCCTCTCTACGCTTAAGGAAACCTCTGTCATTACTGGCAGTTATGCAAACAATTGCTGGTAAAGGTGCTTCGGTTACCTACATACTAAGATTAAAAACACTCCACCAAAAGTGTGGAATTTTACAAAACTCTTAAAACTTTTAAAAATTTTGATTTAAATCAGTACCGAGATTAATAATCAGATAATGTCACTCATACAAAGCACATACGACTTTCAGAAAGCATAAATGTTGAACGATAACATTTTTACATAGTAAAAATCATCAACAGCGCATATCATATATGGTTTTTGAAGCTCATATGTTTAAAAAAGTGCTCTTTCAATGGAAGATTGTATGAATTAAAATGTGAATTATATCCGCATCCACTTGTTTCACCAAATTTCACCCGCATATATCAGAAGTATGCTATGCGATTAGAGATCTTACTTCAATATAGATTCGATATAAGTAAGAGATCTTACTTATACCCAAAATAAATCGATTTTTGAAAAAAAAGCATTGTTTTAAGAAGTCAGTCTCGGGACACGAAATTTTACCTATTTCTACTTTGATATTTATATACTTGTAAAATTAATGAACTCGTAAATTTATTTTTAATTACACAACCTTACCACATATTGCATATGATTTAGTCGATCATTGAAATTATGATTTGTATTTAATTTTGTAAGAATGTATTTATCTTATGGCAAACACTTGAGAATGTCTAGGTTCTTTTTCAACATAGAATATATTTGTAAAGAAAGTAAACACAGTTCACACAGTAAAATTAATGGTCAGCCGAGAAAATATTACATTTACACCTTCTAGACTCAAATATATCGTGACATGAAAGTCACAATATATATAGGTTGAAGCTTCTGGATTTCTTTTTTTATGTAACAATACGTTGACAATGATGAAATTATCGCTCTACTTGAATATTCACGCTTCAATAACGAAGATGTGAGTAATATTTTATGCTGCAATAAAATTATTTGTATTAAAACTCACAAATAAGTGTATTGAACTATAGCGAAAATAGTTCAATATAGAGCAATCAACCCAATTGAAATCTGCTATTCATTATGACTATTATAAACGTAATTTTTCCAAAAATAAGACTTTATCTAGGAGTCCATAAAAAACGCTTCATAATTAGTAAAATTGCATGTTATATCTACACTGACAAAACTCATTTTCAGCTTAAAATTTAATAACAATCTGAAGATTTATATAAATATATTTATTTAACTACAACCTTACAAACATAAGATTTAATTTAAATAGGGATTTTAAAAGTATGTACATTTATGTAAAATATGTGCATATCGTATATAATAAGACTAATATAAAGACTCAAGCGTGCCTTGTGGTTATAGAATTCAGTTATAAATAGACAAATATATATGTACATAGTCCCGTTTAAGAATTTTAATTTAATATCGATTGCAGTGCAGTTTTGTTTGCCTTCAGACAGCGATAAAAAAATCATATCTTTTATACAATTTGTATACAAAATATTTATTTGCATTTTGAAAATAAGTCATACGCTTAAACTAGGCTTAAATTTGTTAACTAATTAAGCAAATATGAAAAAAAAATTATTGTAAAAAAATAACTTATACATATATATAATGTATGTATATATTCTGTAAAAATATTGTGGCAATTTTGTTGCTTATTACAATTTTAGTTTTGCTTTCATTTCATTTTCTGCTTCGATTTTTTGTGTTTCCCCTTCTTCTGCATCAGCATCAGCATTAGCAAACTCTTCTTTGGCTTTTTGTTTTTGTATGAATGGCATAAAACTCCAGAGACTTGCGCCCGCCATTAAAGTGATACCGAGTGTATGAAAGAGTGGATTATAATTGTGCACAGCCTCGAACCATAAACCACATAGCGGCGGTCCAATTAGTTGTAGTATACCGTTGACAAATAAACTAATGCCATAAGAAGATGTTAATCGTTCAGTACCTAGCATATCGGCCATAATTACAGCCGTTATACCCACATAAATGCCGGAAGCCAAACCGAAAAGCGCACACCAAAAACTAACCATTTTATAACTTGTCGCAAGTGGTAAAACAGCTAAAGATATGCCTGATACTGCAAGTCCACCAATAAAATACCATGTTTTTGGTATAAATCCTAAATCTGATAATGCCGAACCACCGATACGACCAATTAAATCTGTAGCGGATACTATAGAAATTAAATATGCTGCTAAGGATTTATCAAAACCAAGCGCTACTCCATATGCTGGCAGTAATATAATGAAATTCGTATAACCAATAGCATTCGTCGAATTCGATATTAGGATGACAAGATACATTGGGTCTTTTAATAAACTTAAATCAAAGAACTTTGTGCGTTTTCCAATTGTTGATTCCCCATCATCGCCAACAGTATCATCTAATGGTCCATCACCTGCACCAGCGCCAGTACCGCTGGCCATGGAACGCAATGATAAATGTGAGGAAAATTCTTTTGGTTGGAAGGATAGTGTACTTCCGTGATATGGTGTGCTTATATATTGAAAACTACTAGTTGAAGGTGAACGACGTGAAAGTCTATTTTTGGAACTGTTACGTAGTGCTTGTAATCGTTCAAGTTTATTGCTAGAACGATTTCCTTCTGGTACAGCATATAGAGATGATTGAGAATTTAATTGACCAGTTGTAAATGTTTGATTGCGTTGCGGCAAGCGAACTGGGGTGCTGATCTTGCGCACACGTGATGGTGTATTTCCATATTCATCTTGATGTTTCCCATAAGTTTGAACAACAGCTGCGGATGCACTGCGCACAAATTGATTATCATCTGAATCCAAGTACCGTTGAAAATCAGGTGATTGTGTGGGTGTAGAATATGGTATTAATTGTTTATTGACATTATTTTCGTCATGAATTGTCTCATTAACATTGCTTTGTGTCTCGTCGACAGTTTTAAATTGAAGTACAATACCAATATCTTCTTCTTCGATATCTTCCAACATTTTTTTAGTTTTTGGTACACGTATCATATGTTGTTCCACAGGCTCATAAAATATGGCTGCAACAAATACGTTTAAGGTGATACCTCCCATTATTAGAACAGCTCCTCTAAAATTATAAATATATAGAATTGTGTTAATATTGAATGCATATTAATGCAATTTTAACAACTTACCTATAACCATAAGTTTCTAACAACCATCGTAGCACTGGAGGTAAAATAATTGAACCCAAGGCGCTTCCTGATATACATAACCCATTAGCTAAGCCACGTAATTTAACAAAATATGAAGTAACTATATACACAGTTGGAGGGAATGATAATCCTGCACCAATTCCCACAAGTACACCGTAACTAGAAGTAGAATAGGATATAAAAATATAGTAAATTTTATATAATATATAATATATAAGATAAAGAAATGTATAATATAATTTAAATAAAATTTATAAGAAAAATTACATATACATAATAGTATTAAAAACGATCATTAAAACAAGAGTGTTACCAACAAAAGCAAATTTTAATAATATTGTATTAGCAATAAAATATACTTTGAACAAAAACTGATTTCAATTAATCTTTCAAGAAAAGAAACTTTTAAAAAATATATGTTTAGAAAAGCAAATCGATTTAACAAAATTAGAGAAAACTAGCTTCAAAGAAAATTGCATATATCAACGTAGCCATAGATATGTGTTTTAATACCGTATAATTACATAAGTAGGATGTACAATGTTTTATAAAGAGTTATAAGAAACGATAATTGTGAGGAAAACACAATGGGAAGTCTTATTGAGACGAGAGTTAACACTACTGAAAGAGAACAGGAGAGAACTGAAAGAGAACGATATATATGAATTAAAATTTAATTTATTTTATCAAAAAATAATAATTTTGTTTAATTATATCAAATATGTTTTAATTATACGTTATCTAAACGGATCATATATGTTAATGGTAATTACATGATTCTGTAGAAGAACGGAATACGAAATAATAGTATTATATTATAATAAATGTAATCTTATTACAATATTTATTTTAACAAAGAACAAGGCTATCCAGTTTGTGGTTTTAAAACAAAATCAAGAGGGTTTAAGAGAGATTTAGAACAAGAGGGTTTTGTCATAAGATAGAAATACAACAACATTCAAATGTCCTCAAATGCAGTAGTCTCATTTTGCTGTAATTTTTGAAGAGAATTCGTTTTAAAAGCATCGAATTGATAATTGATTTGATTGTGATAATTGTTCTCGTTGACATGATCCTTTGTCTATCTGCACAAATGTATATCTAATGAAACTACTACCATGGTTTTGGATGTTAAATTTATGACATGTCCGGAAAGTTTGTCGCACAACAAAGTCAACTAGCATATTAAACTCTTCTGTTGCAATCACATATCTTTTGTGTCTATATCTTCAATTTCACGTCAAAAGAAATTAGTAATGACGTGATTAGAATTGATGCCTGTCATCTTTCCAGATTAAACGCCAAGTCATATAATGGATATCGACAGTTACCCTGACATTGCCTCAGATGTGACAATTTTGTTTGTAAACATATCCACTAAGAGAAAAATGAACTTCATTGCTAAAGAAAATTAGATGACCATCTAAACTCTGTGAATCGAGCACTTAATTAGTGTATGTTCTATACACTGCATAACCCATATCGTAAACAGTGGTAATTTTAATGAGATCAAATACCGTCCAATGCTTATTGCTTTCCACTCCTAATGCGATATTTACTTCGAGACCACGTTTGCATAATAATTCGGATTTTAACATGGTTTGTGATAACTCCCACGTGCAAATATAATAGCACTTCCGCAACTTAGTTAATGATATAGTCATGTGCAAAACAGTTACTTGTAACATTTTAATTCAAAATCAATGTTCTAATTGAAGCTATGCAGCTGTCCAACAGCACATACTTATATGATTAATTTATATAGTATTGATTTAATTTAAAAAAAAAAGTAATTTTTCTATTACTAGGTAAAGAAAAATAATAGATTTGAAATAGATAAGTATATACTAAACGGAATATAGGATACGTCATATCTAACAAAAAATCCCAATTTTAAAGTAGTTTGATTATTTCGACAATAAGACCAGTATATGTGATATATGGATAAAATTAGATTTTAAAGTTAAATTAAATTATTCTACTCTAATTAATTATTGTGTTTTTAATAGAAAATTCTAACAACAGTTATGTTCTTTGGTACCATGCTTTTGGGTGATATTGTATTAGATTAACGATTAATATAATATAGAATAGAACGAGGATAATTAAAGCTGTAATAACAGAAGAATCTAGAATAAAAGGTCGATCGTGAAGTAGATACCAAAAATATATTGAAAAGTATATAATAAGATTGAGTGTTACTGAGTACGAAATAAAGGCATAAAACGTATAAAAATTGAGAAAAATTATAGAAGACTTCATGATCCATCAGGAATTGTCATAACAAGATAATACTTCAGTAATAACTGATGTGCTATGATGTGATATATGATATAATGGAAAGAAATAATCTTTTGTTACTTCATAGAAGAAAAACCTATAAAACAAAAATCGTGCTTGAAGCAGAAATGTTTAGTTACTGAAGTACTGTGAAAAAGAGAAGTAATAAAATACATCAAAACAAAAATAATAATATATAAATAGGACACATTTTACAAATGAGGATTCAATCAATAAAGAATATTAACTGATTCTGTGTTCAAATATATGAAGTCAAGTAAAAGATATTGAAATTTGCAACATATATTCTGTGAGCTGTGGTACAGACCATTAGAAATTATTTATAATAAAGTGAGAGAAGCATTATATCACAAGAATAGTGATAATAATTTAGAATAGATGCGACCGTGAGAAAAAAACAGAAAATTAAAGTAAACATTAAAAATTAGTAATAACAGCTAAATTGCTTATATAGACCATTAAATATGTACAATGTATGTACATTAGGTATAAAAGGTATAAAAAAAAATTAAAAAAATATAAAAAAATAATTGAAGGTGCTAAACTGTATTGAATAAAATATTACGTACAATATGAATAAGATATCAATACATTAAAATACATTAAAATTTTAAGTGAAGTACGCGAATGTTCTTATAAGTGAAATAAACTAACAAACATTTCTCTGCTTCGAGATTTTTAGTATTTATAATATTTAATTAAGTTTGCATGAATTATAGGATATAGGTATATTGTAAAATATCCTTTTAATAAGTTATTCTATTGCAAATAATTAACGACTGTACCTCAAAGCACTTTCTTATTTTGATTCAGTTTTTGATATAATCTATAAAAATAAAATTTTTTTTAATATATTTTAGAAAAACAAAAAACTATTTTTCAAATCATAATAAAGCGACTATAATAAATGCATTAAAATATATTTGAAAAAAATTAATATTATTATTATTTATTCTTACCTTAAGTACAAATATGTAACAGATGAGGCCCAATAAGATAAAATCATACCTAGCGCTGCTGAAGCACCGCCAAGAATCGTCACAGTTCTATATGAATACTTTACTGATAGAATACTAGAAACAGGACCTAGATATTATATAAGTAACATAATTAATTAAAAGGTAATTATTTATTAAAAAAGTTTTAATGAACTCACCTAAAGAACTATAAAGAAAATAACATAAGGCTGGTATCCAGGCAGCTGTTGATGGAGAGGCATGAAAGGCTTCTAAAAATTCGATAAATAGCACACCAAAACTTTTTATTGTACCAGGTATCAATATGTTGACCATCATGGCACCAGCCAACACCAGCCAACCCCAACCACCGTCCGGTGGTACCAAATCGAAGTCATTCGTAGTAGTTGCATTTATTAAACTAACTGTGAAATAAAAAAAAAATATATATGAAAATGAATTAATATATTTAAAAATTGTATAAATTAAAGTATAACTTTAATAAACATAAAAAAAATGTTTAGAGCAGGTCTTCACTTAGATGAATTTTTTTTCAAAATAACAACTGTTAAACAGTTTATAATTAATCTACCAACTAATCTCATATTTTTAGGTGATAATGTTTGGCAGGTCATCATGCAAAGATTCACGTCCAAGCTGAGTATTTTAAACAGATGCTCAGTAATTAATGTTTGACATGAGACTATGAGTCTCGCTTTTCTTTTTAAAAAATAAAATAATAAAAGTTGGAACTGCATTTTTTACAGAAATGAAGCGGTTTATATCTCCTAAGGTCTCCTAAGTCCTAAGTGCTCCTAGGTATAGAGAAATTTTTTTAACTTTGGTAAGTGATTCTTCGAATCAAGAAGCGAAAAACATTTTATAGATGTTTTATTTTCTATATTGACCGAAATACTGGGTGTCAAAAAAAAATCAGTCAATGAACCTCAAAAATAGTTCACACAAATAATCCAAGTAACTTAATTCCATTATACATTTTTTAGATTGAATGCTTAATATGGATTTGTTCACTTATGTATACAAGAGCTAAAAAATATTAAAGATTACAATATATATATATAGCTGTATCTGATTTGAGATAAATTTTAAATTATATTCAGCAAATAAGTATAGTTAATTTTTTTTACAATAATATTTGCATTTGAATTTAAGAGTAATGTACCATATAATTCACTATAAAAATATAAATTATTAGCTTATTTGAGCTCCATATTTTTTATTAATATTAATATTATTGATATAAAAATAATTATTTTTATTTAAATCTCGGAAATAGTCCAAGAGCGTTCGAAAAAATTAATATCCTTAAAAGGAAAATTCGTAACATTGAATTAATTGGAAAGTAATTTCTTTTTTTTCTTTTGCTGAAAAGGAAAGACGGTTTTCTTATATAGTATAAATATTTTATTGAATTACATATTTTCCATTTTTATGCAATAACTTTTGTTTTGTTAACTTCGTGGCAATAATATAATTTAACAGCTGGAGCAAGCAGATGTATCACACCAAGATGAAGGCGTGGCTGGACCTCAACGCAGTTTACACCGATTGAAATCTTAAATGACTAATAGCGATACCAACCCTACCTCGAAGTAATGAATGAATTTTTTTTTTTATATATAAATTTATTTTATTTGATTAAATAAATTTTTATAAGAGTAACTAGCTAACAATATAATAAGCTAACACACAATTTTAATCAACAATTATAAAGAATTTAATCAGAAATCACGCAAGTTCATTTATCACGCATTTCGGACAGGTTGCGACCAAAGATCACAAGGTTTTAGACGCTTAAGGCGACGTGTTGGCTCTATTGACGCCAGTTCATTAGCTTCATCATTCGGATGAGAGTACAGTCGCTGCAGGTGCATTCTTGCATTTCGCTGTATTTCTTCCACCACCGTATTTATCCCTAGATCACGATGCAGATCAGAGTTCCTTACGTACCATGGTGCATTTGCCACACCCCTTAATATAACGTTTTGGAATTTTTGTATGGTTTCAACATGTGTGCTGCTAGCGCATCCCCAGAGCTGAATACCATATGTCCAAATTGGTTTCAATATTTGTTTGTAAATTAAAAGCTTGTTATGAAGTGACAGTTTCGACTTCTTTCCAATAAGCCATTTGATTGATCTGTATTTTATATTCAGTTCATCTCTCTTTTTTTTAAATGTTCATTCCATCTCAGCTTTGCATCCAATGTCATACCGAGGTACTTAGCCGTATTAGAATGTGGAATTTGTATTCCATCAATGTAGAGGGGCATAAATCTGATATTTCGGTTTGTAAAGTTGACGTGAACTGATTTATAGTGGTTAAGTTTTATTTTCCACTTTTCAGCCCAAGCGATAATGTCATTGACAGAAGACTGCAGACGCCTGGCTGCTTTTAGTTCATCATCTCCAATCGCTAGAACAGCTGTATCGTCAGCGAACGTCGCTGTAAACGTCGCTGAGCTCGTTGGCAAATCATGTGTGTATATTAAATATAACAAAGGACCAAGTACACTGCCTTGGGGTACCCCAGCGTTGATTTTTTGGAGTTCACTGTAATCGTTTCCATGCTTAACACGGAAGTAACGAATGGTCAAATAAGAAGAAACCATATCGAAATACTCCAACGGAAAAATGTCTCTTATTTTTGTTAGTAGACCTGTATGCCAAACTTTGTCGAAAGCCTGGGATACGTCTAAGAATACTGCTGAACATACTTTCTTTTCCTCAAGGGCAGTTTCGATTACGTTTGTGATTCTGTGGACTTGATCAATGGTCGAGTGATTACACCTGAATCCAAATTGATGCATAGGTATGGTCTGCTGTTGTTCAAGTAAAGGCAACATCCGTTTAAGCATAATTTTTTCAAATACTTTTGAAAGCACAGGTAGGAGAGCTATTGGCCTATAAGAGCTAACCTCGTTTGCATCTTTCCCCGGTTTAAGGACCATAATAATTTCTTAGACCTTCTACAACGAAGGGAGAGAAGTAATGAATGAATGAGGGGGAGTTGTTTTAGTCTATGCGAGTCGGGCATTCAATTTCCGGGACGCCGTAGGCATTACACTTCTTCTTAAATTATATATATATATAATTGGACATTCAAAAAATTTATGATGCTTGCTAGCAAAAAATCACTCCAAGTACTTTTTAACGTCCCTATTTGAAGTAAAGTAAGAAGTGATTATTCGATCATGTGAGATTTCAAGCATACGCTGTGTGTGGTATTATTTTCTATTTAAACTGTAAACGCTTTTGGCGCAGTACAATACTTATATAAAGTCTCGTATTGGCTTTGTGGTACAGAATACATTTTCTTCTCATTAATACTTGTCTCTTTTGTTATAGAAGAAAAAAAGTTCAACTCATTTTTGTTCTAAAGAATCCAACTTGTCCAGTTAATGAAAGAATCTTAGAATTGATGTTGTTGTTGTAACCTGCTGAGACCTGCTTGTGCTGTCTCTTTGGGAGGTATTGAACGGCATTTGGTCGTCGCTGGCGACGAGTGGCTCCGGGATGTAGACTCAGTCGTCTTTGGAATTGACTCACCTTAGTTTTGATCGTAATATTATCCAATAGAAACTTAAATATAAAAATGAAACACTTGAAATGCTATTATATAGATAGCACTACATTTTTTTATGATAATCGGTTTTCAAAGTGCTTTGACGTTATTTGCCTTTTTTACTGAATGATATGATGTGTTTGACATTCTCGAAAACAGTATATATCTTGTTTTCAGCAATAATTCACCTTTGAAATAGATAATATTCTTTGCTTTTGAGCATCAACTCACTGATGTCAATGCGACGGAGTTAACTTTGTTAGCTAAGAGCTTGAGGTACCTAACATATACATCAGGTTTTAAAATCGAACCGAGGTTTTCATGTATTAATGGAAACTCAAATTCTTTTAATATAATCTTGTGATCTCAAGAGTTGTTATTTTTGTGATTTACATCCATTTGTTTCCATCCACTTTCACTGCCTTTTGAGAACGTTATGCATCGTCAGCAATAAAATTGCTTAAAGTTCCAGCAAGCCTTCCAAATTTGATACTTTGCATATGGATGACCAAAATTGCTGGAACGAAACTAACTTTCCAGAACATGGTACTATGACTATTGAATGTCAAAAATGTTGGAACGAACTTTAGCAAACTACTTTTGACACTCACATTCTTCAAATTTATCTTTTTTATAAACATCAAATAATTTTTCACTTCTTTGAACAATAGTATTACCTCCTTTGTAAAGTAAAAAGGTAAAATACTTTCTTTCTTTCGACTTTCTAGATTTAATTAAGTATCTAACAAAAACTTTTACACAAAATCAAACGAACCAATTTTTTATATATCAGTTGTCAATATACGCGTATATAATTACAAAACGTCTGGAGTATAAAGTTGGGTGTGAGACAATACATTTAAACTTGACTGTTGGAAAGAATTGTAATTACTTTTCGAACAGTCTAATTGCATTTTTCGAGGATTATCACAATTAATATAACATATGGTATGTATATTAGTAATAACTTAAATTATTTATTTTAAATGTATTTATATCATTAAAGAATGACTCAAAAACAACATGTATTGCATGAAAAACAATAATGTATACAAAAAAATCTTAATCTAAACCAAATAATTGTGTGTTAACAAAATTGTCGTCTTACGAGGTGTTAATTGCCAAAATTTTAGTACGTTGACACTTTATTTACGTATAAGATTTAAATAATATAAACATAAAATATCTGCGGAATATAATTTACCTGTTTTATCACATGATTTTTCATTTGCTCCATTGATTTTTAATTTTTTATTTATATTTTTTTTATTAGAAACTTTTTCCCTATTCATTATCTGTAATGAAACAAAAATTATGTTAAAATTAAAACAAAAAAAGAAATCACAAGTTTGTGAACTGGATATATATACATATATTTATATACATGTTTGATTTTAAAACTAAGCAAAAAAACAAAATTTAACAAATATTTCACAAAACAAAGAAATAAAATTCCTTCAAACAATATTTCAATTTTTACTCGTAATAATATCGGTAGAAAAACTCCTTCTTAACAAACTAAAAATTTTGTTAAGAATTACAGCAATTTCTACTCACAATAGCATTATTAGAATTATCCATAAGATTATTTATTTATTCATCATTGCTTTATATATTTTATATCTTAAGAAAATATGCGCGAAATGCAACATGCTTGAAATAAAAAAAAATTTCGGAACATGTGCTATGTGCATGTCCATCGCACCTGAGGCACGGTTAAAAGTACTGAGGCACGGTTTGATAGGACTCAGTATCTCAATCTGGAGTTTATTATGCAAATATACCTGTAACAAATATAAGTTCAACACATGTGCTATGGAGATGCTCAACGGACGTTTTAACGGTCTTTAATAGTTCTAAACGCCATAGTAAATAGCCAAACAGGAGAGCAGTAATATTCCTGAATAGGCAAGCTAAGGCAGACATTGTCTGTAAATCAGAAAGAGAACGAACATAAACTCTTAATACTATTGATGCAAAGAGGCTATGGAACATTATTAGCAAGTAACGAATATGATCGGTGCATGTGTTCTTTAATTAAAGTTGCTAACATAAGAACTCGAAGGTCAAAGTCTACCATATTCATGCCAATTAGTTCATCTAACCTATTGAGTTCGGAAAAAAGTATTCAAAGTTTTTTTTTTTAACTTAATTTTGAAGTGCAATTATTTATAAATAGTATTTATATAATATAATATTATAAATAGCAGACATAATTTTTTGTAAATCACAAGCACTTATGGAAAGATGTTACTGAGTAGTCTCCAAAATTTGGGTTAAGCAATTGAAATGTTACCAACCATGCATAGGTATATCTGTCAAACTGATATTCCCAACTAAATGAAATTCATACGAAAGACAGCTGTTTATATTGTTTACAAGCTAACACAAGCATTTGCGCCTAAGTTTTATGGAACAAAAGTGTGATTGCGTTATACACAATAACTGGAAAATCGGAACCAGCTATTATTCGTGAGTTCAAACACCTCATAATGAATAAAATGTCTGTGTATCGTAGCATATACCGTTCTTATAGTACAGCCGGCATCGCCCAACGCAAATGAAGGCTCGACTTGAACGAAATCCATGTCGTATATTTAATCCATTTATTCCTATGTAGAACATAGGGCCGTAACAAATAATTTTCATTCAACTCTATCTAATGCAAGACGTTTTGCTTCACTCCAGCTCTTTCCAGCGTTATTTTAATTTCGTTTCAGTCCATGTCGTAGTGATAATCAAATAGTCAAATAACTGAAAATATCCCGTTGAAGTATTCAACGCATATTCAAAATGAGCTCATGGTACAACCTTATAAGTTCCAAAAGCCACAAGATCTTATACTAAAGCAACAAAAAGTTAGACTCGAAAGAACAAAGCGTAACCAGTTGATACGTTTGCACAAATGTGGCGCATTTCCAAACATTGTGTGCTTCGATGAGAAAAATGTCCCTACATTGAGCAGTTCATAAACTCTGAATGATCATGCTTACTTAACTTGCATGCACTACCGAAAATTTGAGATTACGAATGGCCACCTAAAGTAATTGTTCATCTCAAGTAACGATATGTAGAACTGTGACCGCCGATGGACGCTCTCCAATCGTTTTCAGCAAGCCTGGTGTCAAAGTCAATGCGATTTATTATCGGGAAAATGTTTTAGAAGTTGCTTTAGAGCCGTGTGCACGCAATTATTTCGGTCGTAGATTGATCCAACATGATTCGGCACCGGTCTCGGCTTCATAATAAAGCTCATGTGAACCAAGAATGGTCAAACAATCATGTTCCACAGTTCATTTCGTTCACACAATGGCTTCCGAGTTCGTCAGATGCAAATCTGATGGACTATTCCATCTGAGTCATTTTGGAGAGCAAGGTGAGGACTAAGACTAAAAAATATGCCAGTATGGATGCGGTGAAGAAAGCCATTGTTCAGAAATGGACCAAAACACCGGAACATCGCATTCGTGAAGCATGCACTTATTTATTTAAACGTTTAAAGGACATAGTCAAGGCAAAAGGTGGCCATATCGAGCTAGAGTGAATGGATTCTAAAATTTTGGTTATTTCTATAAATTTTTGTAGGTTCGCTTAGGTTATACCAAGGGATCCACTTAGCCCTATCTGCCCATTGTGTTACCCTATAATTAAAAACTCAAGTGAAAGCTTTTAATGTTATTCAAAGGCAGGTCTTGCAGTACTCCAGGATTCCTGAAAAAGCGGAATTCGCGCATACGCTGCACAGAAGCGAAGCAGATGGGAGATACTTTCTTCGTCCTCTCCACAACTGCGGCATGTATGGTTGAAAGAGAGATTTAGTCTTCTGGTTACTTATTGTCAGTCTCGTGATTATCATTTTGGTTACTTACATATATCTCTACCACGTATTCAATGAGAATGTTGGATTTACTTTTATTGTAGCGTGGTCATATTCCAAACAGATGCTTGCATACCGTTGAGTCTTCCCATCTTTTATTAAAAAGTTCGACACTGGAAGAACTAAAGGCCAGTTTGCATGATGTCAAGGATATGCCTAGATTGTTTCGGTATTCCGAATGGTTTCATGAAGCCCTGCGTCTGCTTTGCAATAGCCGAAAATATTCCTATGACCGGGAATCCAGATTAGAGAATTATTGAACTGTGTCGATATTGCATTTAGAGATGTGTAAGGGTCAAAGACTGTCTTAGATGTAACAAATTTTTGTAATTTGAATCATAGGTAACACTTCAATCGCCTAACCCTGTATATGAACAATACTTCTATATAAATATTTTGATTATTATGTTTAATAGCAAATTATTTACTTAATCTAAATAACTGAATAACTACAGAAAATTTTATTTTAAAATAATTTGTATTGCATGATTTTTAGATGCAAAATTAATATCAAAGAAAAGTTATACAATATAAATTTTTATAATTATATGTTTGGTTTCCTTACTCTGCAGTTAAAACAAGCAAGTGCTAATTAAAGTTTATTGATATAATAGAAATATTTTTTCAATTGACCAAGGTCGATTTCAGCTGATGAATGTACCGGTCGTGTTGGAGAAAAATAAATTAAACAGAAGTCATAAGCAGTTTGCGTGTACCAGGCATACGAAAAGCGCTGATACTGTAAGAATAAAGGGCGTAGCGAGCAAATTTTTATTTTATGATTTTCTGTTTGTCTGTTTGTCTGAAACAATTTCCACGTACTTCCAAGAACGTATAAAACAACATGTGACTTATGGGTATGAACGAACCTCACAGGGAGAAGAAGTGTTTCTTCTGCATTTTAATTTTTTGTTTTTTAATTAAAGAATTATTAATTATATGATTTTTTTTTTGGTTTTAAAAGAGGTAAATATAATATAAAATAAAAAGAAATAAACAACAAAGAACTTGTCCATTAATATAAAGAAACGTTTTGTCGTAATTTGCACTTTGCAATACATATCGCCAATACCTATGTATGTATATATGCCTATATAGTTCATAACATATAAACTCTTATTGTTTACATACATTGTAGATATAAGTAAACGTACTTATTTCTTAAGTATTTAAATATTATTAAGTCTATATTTGCTGATAAAAAATCTACTCATAATTGTATAATCACACTTAATATCAATGAATATGCGATATTACGAGACGAAGAGGTTTGTGTAAGTGAAGTATTGCGTGTGCAATTCTTTGTCAAAAATAGGTCAGTGCTCTTTTAAGTTCAAGGGTTTTCAGCAATGAAAAGAAAGAAGCAAACATATCATGAAGAGAGACATACAAAGAAATAGCCGTCGTAATTATTGTTTAATGGATTTGTTTAAATAATGATATAGTATAAGAGTGCGTTAAACATTATAAATATAATCATTTTTACACTTATCTTTTTTAGAACTTGGATACATAAACTATTGGTATAAGCAGGCTTCTTGCATTAGATAAATATTCCATGCAATAAAATATGTTTTGTATTTTTTGTATTAAGTTCTAGTGAATTATTATAATATAATATTATAATATTATTATAATAATAATACATGTTGCTAAGAGACCTTAGAATAGACCCGATCAAAAAATACATGAAGGTCAGAGCCCTGAAGTTATATGCGAAAACTGACAGGCTATCCTATTTAGCACTATCTAATCTTAGAATAATCACTCTCCGCACGGGGAGGTACGCAAATCTTAGATCAATCACTGAATAATCATGAAGATTATAGGGAATACATAAATTAGTCAATGAGATGGGTGGGACCCTATAGTACCCCCACCTATCAAAGAGTAAAAGTGCCCAGTTGCGCTGACTCGAAAAATGGATCAACATACATACATACATATACATATATATTAAAAAAATTGTTTGTGCCTCTAACTAACGGTGTGTTAAACATCTAATCACAAATTATAGTTTTTATATTCAACAAATGATCTGTTTTTAGTGCTAAAACAGATACTGATATAAGTTTTAAGCTATAAGTTTTTTTAGCTTCAATGTCATATGTAATGAAATTACACCTAAGTATTTTTTTTACTGCCATATGGTTTTCTAAAATTCAATTATAGTCGTGCTCGATTTATTCCTGTTGTTATCACCTATTTAGGTAGTGCTTACTGTATGTTGTCTTTTACACTTTCCACAAAGTAAAATTTATTGTTACATTCTTTGTATTTCTGTTTTATAAATTTAATTACAAATTAATTTTATACCAAAATTTAGTAAAGACAGAAATAACTTAATGTCCACAATTTGTTAAGCAAAAGAGCTTTCTCTCACATGTTTTGTTTTAATTCTGATTTAAAAGAAACTTT